TTTCTTAACTATTGGATCAAGCTTTTCGCAATTTACATTCCCGTAATTCTTTCTCCCCAACAAAATCTTCCCAAAAATAGCATTTCCAAACATTCAAACCATAGCATTCAAAAAAAGAAATGCAATCCTATCCATTTATCTTCCGTTAACACTGCTAACAAACTGAATTGAACAAGCTCAACAAGCAGAGTTTCTATAACACTAGTATTAAAATGAAAATATGTAGATAGATACATGCACACGCATACACACACACACACACACACACACACACACATACACAAAAACATATCCACACATACATCATACACAGACACATACATATATACACACACATAAACCCACATTTACACATGCACACACACACACACATACACACACACATAAGCTGGTGACATTTTTTAAGATACTCATTCAATAAATTTGTTTTATTTACAAGATAAAAAAAGTATTTTGAGCTATACCGTAGTTAATATATTTCAGTTTTGAAATAAAACAGTGGCAGTTTGAAGTATGAAATGTGTAACAGCAAAAAAAAAGGTGAATAAATAATGATGAAATATATAAGTAGTATCAAATATAGCTTATACGATACTATATATCCTTATGATGATGATGATGATGATGATGACGGTAGTAAATATGATTGAGCAAACAATTGATTAGCGTTTGCTATTCCAAATTTAATTAGTTAATTTAAGCTGTATTAATTTGATTTAGATAACTTGTAATCGATATATGTAAATGACAATAAAAATTATTAAGATAATAATTGATATTTACAGTTACTAATTATACGGAATGGGCCAAATGTCAGGATGATAAGCTCAAGGAATTGTACCGTGATTTAGTTCCAATTAACTTTGTTACCTGATGCAAAATTTTATTTTATTAGCAGGTTTTTTTTTTTTTTAGTTTAGTACTTTACTTCTAATTATAAGTAAAAATGGGAAAAATTTTTCACTGCTTATTTACTTCTAGTTATAAATGTTTCTGTTGAAAATGGAAAAATTAATTATAAATGTTTGTGTTGAAAATGGGAAAAATTTTTCACTGCAGTATTTTAGTGGCAGTATTTTAGTAGTAGTAGGATTATATGTTATAACATTTAGAATCTCCACATGATGAAGTATTTAAAGAGAACAGCATATTGCTTTATTCGGTGAAAAAGAACAAATATTCAGACAATTTCTTTTACAATGAAACAAAACATTTCAAACAAGAAACAGGAATGCATGTTTTGTTCTCGGTAAGGTTAGATAAATTACGATTTCCTTATCAATAAATATCCCTCTTTGGAACATTTAATACAACATCGCTTTCTATATATTTTATCGACATTTATTGTTTTAAATCTGCTTTACTTTTCAGTGATAAATAACAACCAAACATTATGATTTAAAATGAAAGTTGAAAAACCCATTAATTTCGTCAACTTCAGGCTAATTTTTCCCCAACAACAGCATATTTGCACAGTTTAGTTCGAAGCAAATACTGACACATAGATCCAGGTGCAATGCCACTTACTGCTTCCAGTTCTAATTTGTTACCACATTGGCGCATTCTTACCAGCTATAAAAATAATTACAGCAAATACACATGTTATGATGTAAACAGTAATTTTAGGTACGCAAACAGCTTTATTTGCATAACTTGCCTATTGGGATTAGCAAATTTACTTCACTAACCAATTCAAAACTCATTTTCCTAACGTTAATTCCTTCCTTCACCACGGGTAAGAACAAAAAATAAATGAAAGCGAGGAGTAAAAAATTTTTCCATGTCCTGAGATGTAAATATTGAGACGTGAAATGTGGCATTTAAAAATTACCGCCATAAATTATATTACGCGAAAACGCACACAAGTCCTCTACAACTCGAAAATCCTTTTCAATGTATAGTAAAATAACAAACTTCTTCTAGAAGTGCTTCATTTCCCAAAGTGGCGGTTCTTTGAGTGAGCTTTTCCAATTTTGCTAATTCACGATTTTGAAGAGGAAGAAATTGTACAGCCGAAATAACAAACCTGAAAATGAATCGTTATTAAACAGAATATAAACTGGAACAAGAGAAATGCTGAAAATTAAAATGTCTATTTTCACCATTTTCCCTTTATATTACAGTTTTTTTGAGAGAAAATTTGTTCATAATTTTTTTCAGTGAAATTCAGTCTTCTTTATTCTTTTTATTTATATAACATGTTTCCAGAAATGCTGTACATGGAAAAAGAAAGAAGAAAGTAAATTGCTTCCTTTTTTCTTAAAGAAAATAGTATTTACTTCGGTAATTTGCAACGTGACAATCCGATCCATTCAAAATGAGATAATTTTCGGTTTTCCACATCAAACTTTTTACTACAGTTACCATATTTATATGTCATCGCTATTTCAATACCTAAAAAGCAAAAAATAACACTAACGAAATCTCAGTAATGATTATCAAAGTTTCGAGTGAATCGAACGACATCTCGTGATATACATACCATGTGGATCGCAATCCAACAAGCCAAATAATGGAAGGTTGCTCAGTTTCTTTAACATAATTCGCGTTGCAATATCTGGATAACCTCTACCCTTAAAGACAAAATAAAGTAATACTAAATGATTAAATCCACACTTCCTCTTGATATCACCAACTAACCGTCACAAGAAGTACATTGGGGAAAAGTCTCAGAAATCCTTCGCCAATGAGTTTTTGAAATGTAGCGTCCTTTTCGACCACTAATATGCATTGCGCTGTAGTAAAAAGACTTGCACAAGAAAAGTCATCAATGATAGCAGCTTTGAGTGAACAATCCACTATTCCAGTGCTTCCACAAATTTTTAACTGGCCAATTACGAGCCCATGACCAGATGATAGCTGAAATTCAAAAATTATTATAATCAAATACATTCAATGTTTGAGCGTCCCTCATCTTAACGGATAACCTAAATGAAGTCAACTGCTACAACACTCTGGTTTATTCTGTGCTGATTTTTGATGCTCCATCGCAGTAATTCTCAGAAAAAAAGAAAAGATTTAAATCAAGTTGTCACCATTCGTTTAAAATACATTTTCAAAAAATCTATCCGTAAAATCATAAATCTAAATTACCTAGTAACTGAAATCCAAGAAATGCTAGAAAACAGCTATTTTATCACTTACCAAATATCCAGAAGTCGGATCCATCCCAAGCCAATAACAGATTCTATTAATAGAGCTATTCAAATTACGCTGCTCACCAAACAAATTTTTTTGCTCGTAAAAAAGATCGCTGGAAAAGATAAAGAGAGTGAGAATGCATTTAAAAGTGTTTACGAAGTTTTATATCTTAATTTTGATAAATTTCAAAATGAAAAATCTGGCTATTATAACTTTCGTTCCGGATTTCAAAATATAATATGTTAGCACTGATCAATATTTTTATGGTTTAACCGATATCAAAAACAACTCGAGATATTTCAAACTTGATGCCATTTGGCAAATATTCAGCAAACAATTACCGTTTCGTCTTATAAACCTTTAACACTCGCAACTGATGTATCATTGAAATCGTTCGTATCATTTGAGCAATCCATCGGCAGTTTTTTGGAGTTAACTTCAACTTATATCCTTTATCGTCAGCCGCACTTAAGAAACCCTTTCGGATTAAGTGCTTGAACAGCAATCAATTTAATACGCATGGAATACAGTTTCAGCTACTTCAGATACCATTCTCCTTTGCTCTGACAATTTTAGAATCTTTGTTTAGTAGTCGGAATGATAACGACCAAACAAGTTAAAAAAGGAACCGTGGATTGGATAATACAATGTGTCCATTTGGATTTTTGCCGATATCCATTAGTGACTTCAAAAATACTAAGCAGCACTGTTCGATATGATGTGATACAGAATCAGCGGTATTTGCATGACAAATTTCTCCCGAATCCAGTGAAAACATTCCTAAAAATATTGTAAAAAAAAATGATATTGTAAGAATTACGATAGAAATGAAAAAAATCTGCTCTCGATTTTATATTAAAACAAACCGACACACTACGAAGATCAAAAAACCAGCACATGCTATCCTGAACTGGACAAAGAGGAGATATAAAATTTAGGAACTATTGTTTTCATTGGATTCGTACCATTCAACCTTCCCGCCACCATATTTTTTTTTTTTTATAGCAAAATAAAGTGCTGGCAGTCCAACCAACAAAAAGATTGAAAGTAATGTATTGATGGGTGCCGTAGAACCCCTCTGGAAAGAAGGATCATGGACAGTCGCATCTGAACATGCAGCTGCTTATTTCCTAGTCCGACAAATTCTCTGAAGCAATGTAATCTTCCATCAAATTACCGGAAAATTCTTCCGGAACTCAAAACTACCTTAGCATCACAGGTGTTTAAGCATGCTCAGTATTCATATATTCATCATCATTCGACCGCATGCTAACTTTCTGGAGGCGACAAGTACCCCTCCTTGCATTTGACGGAATCAAAGTTACCTTGCACGAAACTCTGTTTCCCATCCCGAAGTTGGAGCATTCAATCGTTAACTTTTGGTTTCGAAGTCCGACATCCGACATCAAGATCCCCCACGCCCTCTAACACGATAAGCAATTTCACTGAGAAGCAATTTCACGGAGACAAGTCGAAATCAAGCCATTCTCGCCGGCCTCATACACCCACCACCCATTTCATCTCTACTTAAAGTCAGGGATATAAATCTGTCCCATCTTTAGGTTGTTCCTGAAAAATGCATGACATGTGTCAGCTACCCACGACGACCCAATTTTTAATTTACTGCCAAGTTCAGCCACCTCATGGATTATGTTTGGAATTACTCCGAGCAATAAACCTCATTAGCAATGCATCTTTATTCCGAAGACCTTCAAGTTTGAAATATATTCTAAATTTCTGCAAAACCAATCCGTCACACAAAACAGTTTCTACTCTACTGTCACGTGCACTCCTTATTTGTTTCGTTCAATCAGGTAAGAACTGGTAAATCACAATAACAACAAATCTTGTTTATTAAGAGAACAAGATGACATTAAAAGCAGTGAGTAATCGAACATGTTCGGAATGCAAAACAACAAAAAATACAAGAATGCGACAACACATCTGTTCGGAATGCAAAACAACAAAAAATATAAGAACGCGACAACACGTTTATTCGGAATGCAAAACAACAAAAATATAAGAAAGCGACAATACGTCTGTTCGGAATGCTAAACAACAAAAACTGTTAGGAATGCTAAACAACAAAAACATAAGAACGCGATAACATATCTTTTTTTAGGACGAGAACAGATTCTTTATCGTGATTTTTCGTCTTATAGCACTTGATGATCCCGAGTTATAACAGAACGTAATTCCTGCCTCAAACTTCCCGGGCTTACTCAACTTTCCTTTCATATTTCCTGCTAAATTACCAACAGTTCCGTCAGACAAAGAGTCGACACTTCGCAGCTTCTGCAGTTCAATCTAAATAGGCGTATTTAGTGTAGCAGTTGCAGAAAAAAAAAAAGTAATATTTTGACACGGAAGAATGAATATTCCGACACTGCTTGACCATAGCCATCTGCTTACTGCACATAACAATTAGTTTAGCGAACCATACAGCTAAACAATCTAATGGAATTCAAACCTCATGTGCTATTAGCTGTCTCGCAGCATTGGACAATGTATTCGAAGATCGATTATTGTGACATGCATTATCATCGTTAAACATAACCAGCTGGTCGATTGCACTGAAACAAAAAAAAGGATATCACCTAGCTCAGTGGAATGGATTCGATAAAAATTCACTACAACTTACGGTTTAAAAACGAAGCTAGTAGATCCATCCTGCGAAACAGAGGTGAACGTGAGAGAATATGTTCGCATGATGCTGACAATCGAATGCAAAAGGTTAAGTTCCCGAACACTATACAGCTGAGCGTTCATCTGGAACAAACAAAATAAAATATATAGGTTTCCAGTCAGGAGGTTATTTATGCCATAAGCACGAGAAAATACTAGCCACTTCCACTATCGCAAACACCAACCAATTGAAAAAAGAATCTAGCAAAAAATTCTGAAAAATTCGGAATAAAATTTTAACCGGTTTAAAATCCGGTTGCACAATGTATATGAGATACGGCAAAATTTCGAGTGCAACTGTTGACAGAGAAAAACTTTTCTGCGTTGCTCCAGCTCGGACGCTTTCTACTATTTCAACGGATTGCTCACAACGCTGCACTGCATTCTGAAATGTACTTCAACTCAAAAAATAACAAATCTAAATTCTTCTGTATACCATATTAACAAAGAAAGGTAAAGAAAGAAAAACGAAAAGAACGAATTACATGGTATTCTGTTGGGAAGCTCAGCTGTGTTCGACCTCTGCAGCAGAGCAGCATATGTATGCTTACGCATACAGTGGACAAATATTTCAGCAAATTATAATCTTGCACACTATTCATGGATGTAACTATTCGATCATAATAACATAATTGACGGATCGCCATAGAAGCCTAAGCATGGAAACTTGAATTATTACTCACTGAGAAAAAAAACCAAACATTATGGTATCAAGGTTATTGAACAGATGGGAACTTTATATGAAATGAAGATTCCAACGCAAAAATTAAAATTTCGATATTTATTCTCTATAATAAAGCGGGAATGCTCCTGAACTAATTTGCGAACAAATAAAAAGCGTGCAACAAGATCAATTCATAGGATCCTCTTTCAAACTCACAAATACTATTAGTTACCATTAAGAGCACGCGATCATTATATACGGCACACTTTCGATCAGTGCACCGTATACATTAATGATGATAACGATAATGTTATATCTTGAAATCTTCACCTCATTTCATCAATAATCGACAACGCATTCATAAGCTGTTAAAAGTTGATGAATTACCAGGGTTACGATTTAACACTACGCAGTCGTTTCACTCCACAACATGATTACTTTCTTAGTTTAAAAACGATACTAATTTCTTAAGTTCATGAAATAGTTTACATTCATCAGCACACTGGCATTTCTGCTATTCAAGTAGTTGGTGAAAAGTCCCATATAGAACCGATCGCTTTCGCTTCCGTGTAGCTCCGAAATAAGTGAAATTTGCTTGACACGTGAAGCAACATCTTGAATGCGACCATTTGAATCCAAATGTCGAGAAATTTCGAAAACTGAAGCCCACGAATCGAACAATGACTTGTCGTTAAACTGTTTCTCACGCTCGCAGAACTATAAGCGCCTTCATTTGAAAGAAACTGAATGTCATTAAAGTAGATTATAACGTCTGGTCCAGTATGCACATATATTATCCAAATACCAAAAACAGACAAGAATGTACCTTAAGAACAGCTTTCCGATCGATTGTAGCGCAATTTTTAGACGCGATAAATTGTAAGTTGTTGATTGCGGAACGGAGATCCCGTGAGCATGCATCAATAATTTCCGACAGTGCGCATGATTCAACTTTCAGATGCTCTAATTTCGATATCTAAAAAGGGTTTACGATTTTGTTAAACGCATCAATATGTGAACACATTTATTAAGTCTATTCAGGAATCAATAAAAAAAAGTTCCAGTTGTAAGTAATTTTTCTAAACTCATTTATAAATCATACTCTGAGATTTATCAGGTGCTCCAACCACCATTAACGGTACAAAGCTTTAAACCGATACAAAGTTTTAAACAGATTCACCGTTGTAAATATAAAAATAAAAATTTAAGCCTCAGAAAGTTTGTTATGATACAGACGTAAAGTGGAGCCTGGTATCACGAAGACCTCTGACAAATGAAAACTACTCGTCATAGTTAGAAAAGCAAATGAGCAAAAGATGTTAGGTGTGTCAAATTTAGTTTGAAACACCGAACATCTTTTGCTCATTTGCTTTAGTCGTACTGATGATTCTGTGTACCATCAGTACGACTAAATTTGTTCAGTGGGGAACTTTAATACTTTTCGTAGAAAAATGAATGCCTCATGAAGTCTTTTGGTTAAACGCTTTTCATCAGTTCTTGACAATTGCAACACTAGACCAACTGATCGCAATTCGCGCAGAGAGGAACTATATCTGCAATGAAAACCCAACAGTTTTATATCAAAAAATATTAGAGCAATATCAAATTTCATTTGGATCATCAAAACAATATTCATTTTTTTGTATGGAGAACATGCACTAACAGATTATTGCATATGCATATTACTGGTCGTTGAAGTGAATGTCTTCCAGTTGCAGTTATAGCTTTACACAAATAATGAATGGACTGCATTGGTGCGCCATCTATTTCATCCAAAACAAGACAATTTGGTTTTGAAGTCTAAAAAAAAACTTTTTCACAAATGAATCAATCCTAATATACCAAACATCTCAAAAAAAGGATGAATTTTTTAAAAGAAAATCTTGTCCTTACAGCATCCAGAGTCCTTGTCGTTCGTAAAGTATCTTCAAAACATTTTTCAAAATCCACAGTATTTCGCTCATCACTGAAATAATGCGCGGGAAATATCAAAAATAAAGCGCACATACAGCACACAATTTCATCGTTAGCACTTTTCATTACACTACATGCCGTACTGTACAGCGGAAAGTGCTAACGATATAATCGCACCTATTCGTTTTGAGGAATTCAACAACCAAACTAATGGATAAAATTTTCAGGAAACTCTCAATTCAGCAGAGGAAAAGAAAAATTATGTAACCATGTTTCCAAAATTAAGTGGATTTACCTAGCATTTAAATTGACTACTCGATATCCAGCATGTTGCGCCACCAAAGTTACTAGTGTAGTTTTACCAGAACCAGCTGGTCCAGCTAGGAGCACTACCTAAATATATTTTTTCGAACTCTTTCAAGTGTTTCCTCATGAAAAATCAATACATACGTTTTTGGTAAAAAAACAGGTACATACTTTCTGCGATGGGCGCCTTGGTTTTTCATTGCTCAAAATAAGTTGATTTGAAGCACCTCTGAGAACGACATCCGGGATAGCTCTATGAAAGACACATTCATCCCACAATTTTAACCAATTTAATAACAAGCGATTCACGGTCTGAAATTCATTTGTTCTCCGAAAATCCATTAAAATATGTATCAACATGATTCACTAGAAGTTTTGCAAGATCATCATGTAAAATAGGACTAACCACATCAAAGAAAGATAACAGTACCTCATCACTAATGAGATCAGCATAAGTATGCGGGGCATATTTGTCAACCCACAACTTATCGTGAATAAACGCAGATCCTTCCAAACCTTCGGGAACAACATCAGGAACCTCAAAATCGATTCCAGAATTTAATACTTTTTCGGTGAAACCGAACTTCAGAGCATCACTTCGCAGTTTATCATTGCTATGATTATCAACCGTTTGTTCAGCACTCCTCAACATTATGTAGAATCTGCAAATAGATTCATCATAAGATGAAACCTATTGACGTATAAGAAGCTAAATTCCTGAATCCTGATCCAGAATTCCTAACGTTCGACAGCTTTCTGAAAAGCTATTGAGAATACTAAAAATCTCTAATCCATACAAACGAAGATTTTTATTTTATTAATTATTTTGACCTTTGCAGGATTGTGGGATCTGTAAAACCGATCCATGGCGCACCATCACTCGGTGGGTATAGCAAAACTTCGCTTTTTTTCGGCTTTGTTGGTACACTTTTAGTCTCGTTATCTGTTTGTAAGTCTACTAAGTGACGCCTTTTTCGAACCTATAAACGACCACAGAACTTTATATGATTAGATTATTCATTTTGAAACCATTACGATGGAACTCGACTTTGAAAATGTGATTGCCCGAAAAAACACATTTCATTGAAACAACCAAATATGTACTATTACCCCAGAAGAATCAATCCTGAATCTGTTAACATACCCATGAAATGCGTTGTGTAAGGCGTTCAACCATTTCATCGCCAAGAATTTCTCGTCTCATATCGCGTTCTTTTTCATAATTATCGCAGTTTACTCGCATATGCCAATCTGTCAATACTCATAAGTCCTCAATCAGATTTTATCCCAAGTAGCGACACTTCGTACAAATTCAATTTCAAATCTCTTCAGAATGAGCATCGACCTCAAAACTGTCTGACCAACCATTCTGCTGTTTCACCTAATAACATGTTCAACATATCGAGAATACATCTCTGGAAGAATGACCAGAACACAGACCGTCAAACATTCGGTTTAATTTAAAAAGTGTAAGCCATGTTGAGACGCAAGAAAAAGAGAAATCAGTTATATACCAAGCGCATCACAATCAGGTATTAATATCCGTTTCGGCGGTCTTCTTACAACATCATTCAAATTATTTACTGGCGGATTATTTCGTACATTTGCCTCTCTGCAAAAAACCGGTATGATTAAAAAAAATCCTATAACTACGAATAATGAACCACTTCATCATATAACGGTAAAACCAAATCAAAAAAAGAACAAAACTAACCCATAATTCAAGGCGTCGTCTGCGAAATTGGCCTCAATCTCGTTGTAAACATCTGGATCCATAAGTTTCTTCATGAGTCAGTAAGGAACGATCGCTTAACCTTTCCTCAATAATTTAGCAAACAACTCACAAACCCTTCACAAAATCGGCTCGCTCGGTTACGTTACCCACCCCTTCCCCCCGCAATCGCCAACATCTTTCCCCTCAACACGGTATTCCCTGAACAGGCCAAAAGACCACCAACTTTTTCGTTATTTTTTGAATAAAATAAGTACACGGAAAACAACAAGTCCATCTATATAGGACTAAATGTGCAAACAATTGAGAATATTTCTGGAATAAGTAACCAGTTTGAACCATTCAGAGAAATGTCGCGATCAAAATAAGGAATACTCTTACAATAAGATATGCGTAGCAATATTTCTAGAAAGATATACAGTTGAATATTTCTGAAGGTTTTGTAACCACGTATAATTTCATACCAGAGTAACTTGAAGGGAAAATTTGCATTTGACAGAAAACATTAGTAAAAACATTACAGAGATGCAAAAATACAATACAAATAACACCGAAATAATACAATAAATATAACATTGACATAATAATATAAATAACAATAATAATAATAATAATAATAATAATAATAATAATAATGGTAAATAATACTTCCAAAACTGCACTGTGCATTTAGCATGAATAACATAGAGCAAATCATAGCAGAGGAACTTTTTTTTTTTGAACTTCCTCTTCTTAGTCTCATTTTTTCATGTCACAATACATGAGAATAAGAACGATGTGCAAACAACTGACAACAGACACGAATAAACAAACAGAATGGATATTGAGAGGAATAAAAAACAAACAGAAAAGAGAAAGTTGGATCACAGCACATAATGGCTCAGAAGAAAGCAAAGAGAATAAACTACAACCGCATTAATAAGTGTCTGACCGGATGAATGGACACTAACAACTCTACCAGTCATCGTGATACATAATAATGCCGTCACACCAGCTACAGCCACCAAGGTTTGAGTATGAACTTGAGGAATTTTACTGAATTATCCTTAAAAATCCATCACTTCGACTTTAACCTTCCAGAAGTTCTAAATTGTAAATTGAAAAAGTTCATGACATCCTTGACAACAAACAAAGTTAACGAACAAAATTCACAAAAGAATCCAAAAACAAAGTGCTTCCCAGTAAGATATGGGAGACGATGAATAATCAACATATGGGATATAATGTGCAAGCAAATTAAAGACCATTAGAATAACAAAGTTGTTATTTATGATTAATGAATGAATGAATGCTGATACCATGCTTAATGTCAAATAATAACAAAAAGATTTAAATCCTACCCAATCCAAACACTGAAATTTATTCAACCATCAGCATCTACGAAAGCTTGCAAAAATGCTGGACAATTTAGCTACATAGGTTCATTGTAGCTAAGGTAACTACTGCTAGTAATATTTCCATGACAATAATCAGCCAACTACAGAAAATGCTAAATAAAATAGCTACACACTAACAAAAAAAGGTATAAAAGCCTGGACAATGCTTTTCTAAAGATGATCTGAGAAATGAATATAAGCTATCTAATTAAAATCAAGACATTTTTTAGAATCGTAGAGACATCCTGGTAATTGCATTTGTGCAAAAATACTATTATGCGAAAGAAATCCAGACCCTAATCGTAAACAAGACACATTTAACGAAATACATGGCAATCATCCTAGAAACTACACTTGTCCAAACATGCCAGGATTGCATGGGAGATGTCCTAGAAATTATCGTCGATAGCGCGACGCACCCAAATAATTATATTACAAACATTCTAGAAACTGTCATCTAACAAGAATGAATGATAAGCGATGAATAAGCCATTAAAAACCAATAATTAAAAGACTACAGAATTCATGCAAAAAAAGATCATAAAATTTAAAATAAAAATTTGCGGGAAAAATTAATAAAAACAGACCTAAAACAGATGCGAAAAAATACAGCCACACATCCCCTATCGTAAGAGAATTAAATGTATGCATATTTGAATACGACATTTAAAATTTACATCGTTAAACCCTGGATGTGGGTGGATATAACATATAAATAATTGACACGTGTTGCAAGAAGTATGAATTACCACGTGACAAAAAGAAATATAACATAAGGCATATAACGGTGCCCCACATCTATAACAACAAATGGGGAAAAGTGTTAACTAGCAAAAAACTGAAACACAAAAAGCTAAAAAGACCTAGCAAAATTTGTCATAAGCCAAAAGCATCAGATTTTACTTCCAATATATAAGAATGAATTATAAAATGCATGCTCTTCCTGAAGATTTACTTTCGTCGAGGAAATTGTGGTAACGAGAAGATGAGGAGAGGGTGGTGAAAAACGAATCAAGTGAGGCACTAATATTAATACAGATCCCGGCTAAACTTGAAGTATGAGAATAACTGGAATATAAAAACAAGTAAAAATGTGAAGGTGTTAAAGGGCTCACGGAACCTTCCAGGTGAATACAATTTTGACTAAATCAGTATTGATAGAGTTCATGTATTTCTATAAATATTCTGAAAAAAAAATAGCAAGGAATTGATGCCTCCAACTTTGGACAAAACTTAACTCATTATCACAGTGGAAGATCACTGAGCAAATTTCTTCTGAGACTTCATAGAACAACAAAAAAAGATAAAGAAAAAAAGCAACGTCAGATTAGGGAATCGCATGTACACACTACAATTATGATTTGCTTGCTTGATTTGATAATCGTTGGTTGATGGAGGGAGTTTACCAACAAACACTAGTGTCGACCGTGTTCGCTTGACTGCCGATATTCACTACCACCACTATAATGTCGTAATCCACGAGATCCTCCTCCACCACCACGCCCGCCACCAGATCCATTACGCACATTAAACCCACCACGTGACAGGCCTGGAAACATTCTTTCACTATTTCCCACTCAAATATTAATGTTGAAGAAAACCAAAACAATCCTAATATAAAACATACGAATTGGTTCCGAAAACTACAAAACCCCCAATTAACTTTTATGAAAATTACAGTCAACATATTATCAGATACAGAGCAACATGAAACCTTGGACTGGAGGGCCTCTGTGTACAAAAGGAGTACGAGAGTTTATCTGTCCACCCTTCTGCTCCGAAAGAGTGGCTTCCCCGTCGAATCCAAGTGAATCAATTTTCAGATGTATAAGTGAAAGCGACCGCTCCTAAAAGGCTTATAATTTATATTATGTACATTTCATGATATAAAAGTAAGACTGCGCAAATGAATATTCTTAAAAAACTCTTATTTTCTACAGAACCAAATTTTTTCAAAATTCCATCCATTCATCTTTCAATAACAAACCATCTCTAAAAAACGGACTACATTCCACGCGTAACTTAGTGATTCCAACTGGACCAACGAAATCAGCTTAAAGATAATTTCAAATGACCTTTCTTGCAGCATGGAATGCATTTCTTGCACCCTCTGGTGTTCTCATAACCACAAAAGCAAAAACAGTTCGCTGTGGATCCGCAGTGTCTAGCACACGACGGGGAACATTTACCGAAGCGACATGTCCGAATTCTAAAGAAAAAAAAACAAAAATATATAAGCGAAGGCGCATAATGTGTTCTAAAATTTGATTAGAGCAACAACTACTGAAACAAATCACAATGATGCAAGCAAAATTACTTTCGAACTCGAAACGTATATCTCTTTCAATTGCAGCTGCGCTTTCCGGAACAATATTACGAGTTATACCGCCCACATAGAGTCGACAATTGTCTTCTATAAAACTTCGAACAATTACACTATGTAAACAAAAAACAGTTAACAAATCTTCATCGGTACCATACATATTGATTACCGAAATTTGCGTGAAGATTTGCATTGTTTGAAGCAGAAATCGAAGTATGATTTTGAATCACAGGGAACCGCATTGGTGGCTGAGCTGTCGTTTGAGTTATATTCTGCAGTTGCGCAGCAATAGTTGCTGCAGTTGTCTGATTACCACCGACCAATTTAGCCCAAGTTTTTGGTGCCGAATCAACTGTAACCGAATTCGAATCTTCTATCTGCAAACGAATACATTCATATAATGATAGGTCTTCCGTTCTGTGTCCAACAGTTGCCATGAAAAACAGGTATACTCTCGCATAAATAACGAAATGTTGAAATAAAATTTTAAATCACGAGGCACATGCCATAAAATTATGATACCATTACTTTACCTGTGCCTCTTCAGTGGAACTATCATCAGATTTACTACTAGCTCTGTCATTCATTTGATGCTTTGCATCATGAACAACTGCATTTGTATTCGCTGCCGGAATGGGTTCAAGATGCTGCTCTTTCTTCAGGCTGTCAGGTGACTGATCGGTAGTCTCAATTTCTGAAAATCTCTAAAATCAGTTACATTTTCTTAGACGAACATTTCCTTTTTGTCCCATCTCTACAAGGTTGCATTCAAAGCAAACAGTGTTGTTACAAAACCTTCTCCCTAACAGGGAGCTCGTGTAACGAACGGTCAATGCAACCTGTCAATCTATGCAAGAATTTGGCAGATGAAATATGCAATGAAATTATAACCACTAACGGTTGTGGCTTGCAGAGATGGTTTGAGTATGACCGTTAATTTCGCCAGTTTCACCATTTGTTGGAGCATTCTCCTCAGTAGTAATTTGAGCCTGGACATCTGAAAGTCTTAATATGTCATTCTACATGTCATCCTTTTTCAACATGTGTCGCTTTCGCATCTAGTACTAGGTGCCACTTGGGTAAGGCTGTTTAAGTTGTGATGACTGAATTTTCAATTTCGCATTATGCTTTAAAATATCTTGAGGTAAGTACCAAATCATGCAGCACATATCCCTTTAAAAGCGTAACCAAACACGACATGAATCAACAAGAAAAAAAGCATCTGATACCGATCCTCAAATCATATCGTTTAATGTACTCAGTGTTCAGATTTACTTCAGACCTTATCTGTAACTTCTCGCATATTTAGAGGTTCTCAGAATATGCCTTACCATGCTTCCAGACATCTATATCTATATATATTTTTCTTAGACGATGTGAAATGTGAAGATTTCGTATTCTCTGCCTTCCTTGCATGTACATCAAACTACAATGTCATGAAGAGAAAAAAAGGCATACAAACCGTTCTTTTGCGGCTGAATGACAGCGTCACCGAAGGCCCGATCAAGCCACTGGAAAACATCATTGTGGACATAGTATTTCTTTGGAGTTTGTGGACAGAGAATGAACGTTTGCAAGAAACGCCTTTCAGGATTATCGCCAATCGAAAGTTCACCACAAACCTTTAAAATGTTTTACTAAATGCTCAAACTACTAAAACCCGAAGAGAACAACCTCTTTAAAAAAAGCTTGGTATTCCATTTTCATGAAATATACAATTTTTCCATTTTTACTATCGGAGAGTTTAACACAAAGAAAAAAAAATCATTCCATTAAAAATGTTTCATAACTTACCTGTATGACTAAACCATTGTTCATTGTGGCAGTGCCACTGACGGTATAAATTCGGGCCTTACAGTCAACAAAAGCCAAACGTTCAATTGCTTTCTGTATTTTCTGAAAATTAAATGACCTATTATAAATATTTTATTTATTGTGTAAACAATCTACCTCCCATTGTAAAGATCACATTTCTTATCGGATACTTAAGAACCAACATATGAACAACATAACCTGCTGTCCCTGAACGGGCTGATCCGTATCATGAGCAAAATATGATTCATGGCTATAGAAGCGAAAAACGTCCTGTGGTCTCTCTGATAGCATCGTATAATACTGACGAACGAATTCACGTCCAATTTCTAAAAAGTATAACAATTAGAAATTGCAGCAAGTAAATTTAAAAAGTAGAGTAATTTGATTTTAAAATGCAATATTTTTTCCATTATGTTACTATGTTACCCGTTATGTACGGTTCAAATTTCTAAAAGCACAATAGATGGCATGCATTTATTTTTTTGGAAGCAGGAGGAGATGATAAATGATCTTCCAAAATATATCCTGGAGGCTCATTGTGGCGTGAGAAAGTGGGAATAGAGAACATCGTAGCAAGGTAAAACGAGTAGAATGAGCAAACTTGTAGACATCGCCAACTTTTTCTGGGGAAGAACAAGCATTAGCAACCAATTTTCCAGTGTTCTTTCCTACGATTGCAATAAACGATCAGGACGTCATGTCCCAATAGTAAATGCATGAATCAGTGTGTCAACATTGTGAAATATTTATATATTTAAATATTCATTATGATTTAATATATAACCTTTGGGTGACGGTTGTGGTGTTTTGGCAACTTCATTAGTACGGCCATTCATAACATCACCAACTCCCTCCATCTTCATATTGGATGAGAACGACCGCTACAAACACGCGATTCCTGAACAATAATGTTTAAAATAATCGCAAAGAATGCTCTCTTGGTTATATGAAACCAGCGTAACGTGACATGCATTTAGCCAATGAAATGTGTGGATTAAAACAAAACTTCGGTTTTTATAAAAACTTCCATACATGCCGGTAAAAATTCCAATCCTTATGCAGAAAAGAGAATACAACTACGAACAGCAAAAAATATTTCAACGACAATGCTAACCAGCACACAATCTACACATCAGAAATGCATTCTGTCTGGTGCAGTAGTATGTACTTTGAATTGCTTTATCAAAATTAATAAAAAAAAACATCAAATGCAGTACATTAGATGAAATGCAAAACGTTTACTATAATAAAGCCTATTTTTTATTTCCCTGCTAACCACAACAAAGCAAACGCTGGAAAATGACAAGAATCGTCTACACCAATCGGATTTCCGCTTTACTATGCTTTTGAAAAGAAACAATGTGACAAGAATAGCTACGTCATGAAATGATCAAAATATCACACATCCAAGATTTCAACTACTTATTATCTGTACCATCCTGACCACGGAAGTTCAGTTTCCCAATTTCTCCATTTCGAATGGCAGGGTATTATCAGTTCGATGACAAGTACATGCTACAAGTATATGACAAAGATGTGTCCCAAGTGGGAAACCTCTTCAAATAACGTGATTGGCAACAAATATCCTCAAATCTAAATGACAGCAAAAGTTATAAATCGCAGATCGAGGAATTGTAACCATCATCGGTTGATTCTGCGCAACACAACATGATCGGAAGCAATTCCGTAAATATTAGTAAAAGCTACGTTAAACAGACCGCTGTAAGTACCTGATAGTTTGTATTTCTGCCTCCTTGTAACTTCTTGAAAGAGCTCAACTTCCATTAAAGTCCCCTAAGGACCGACCACCATCCACTTGAAGATCGTCTTCAATCAATTACAACAACATGAAACGAATTGCGTGACATGAATCCACATTTATCAACGTCAACTAATTCAAGTTGCCAATGCTCATCCACAATAAAATCATAGTGACGAATACAACCATTCATTTATTTACATAGTATTTATTGATAATATAACGTAAACTTATGTAGTAGAAATCAATAAAACGAAATAGTAGCTCTGAAAATAATCAAACAACACCTCTAGACTACGCCAAAAAAACTCATACCTAACAAAAGCTTGTAGGACCTAAAACTACTTATGATACCATACACTGGAAAAGATAAACATGCAGTCACGGGAAAACGAAACTCCCCATGACCAGAAACGACACTCAGCCTAGTACAACCGCACCCACACACCCCACTTTCAACAGCCCCATACCCTACAAAACGCGGCCCGCCCTAAAAAACAATAGCAGCGATGTGCACTGTCTAATCCCTGACGAATTGAGAAAGTGGTCCTGGCATCTTCTGTCCGACGAGCCAGGCATATAATAAATAACGACAGAGAGGACTTATCTACCGACATATTAATAACTTGAGGGGGATTCGAGAACCAACGATTGGTTGTAGCCATTTAATAAAGCGGAGAGTGATGTCCGTAGAACAATTTCAGGACGAAGTTGTCTCAAGAACACGCTTTGTTCTCTTTACAATAGCGACATTCAGGCGCAGATGACAAGGATTGAGATCAAGTAGCTATTCTTCACGCGTTTGATTTGATTATGCTCGAGCTTATATTGCTATTGCTTGCGTTAAATAGCACACGTGCTGTCATAAAGTTACGAATGATTTTAACGACCACAGTTCATTTCATAACATTGAGAAAATCTTGGAGTCATGTCATCCAGTACTGCGTTCCAAAATCATGCCACGTAATGTTGCGTTTCGAAATGAAACGTTGCATGTAGTTTTCAACATGGACATACATCAAATTCGATTAAAGTGTAAACACATAGCGAGCACAGCAATTTCACATGTGTCTAAGAAGAGAGGGAGGAAACACATCCTCCTTTATTGAAGCAAACAGTGCGTGATATACTTTTGAAAATCACTTCTTCCGATATTGTAAAACTCCCCTTCAATCCCCCTTAGCACATTTCGTCCCTATTTATTATTCTGAATTAATTCGCCATACGAAAAAGAAAGAATTCAGTGTAAAATGTAACAGGGCAAAACACCATAAAACATTGCCGAAACTCCACCCGTACCATATGAAAAATCGTTCAAGGATACTACGATAATCGCAAATTAATCCAGAACCTGTAAGGCCTCTCGACACACGATACCGCCTCCATCGTAATGGCCCAATTACTTCTATGAGAATTCCATTGCAATCTATTAGATGCCGTATTGGGCTACAGTGAGTCACTTATTCCTTAGGCAGCCCGAATAATGGTGTCTTTTCTGTTTGGAATTATAAAATTTGTCACTTATCAGACGTGAATATGGTCTGTGTTACTCTTGTAAAACTTGAAGTCGCACTGCATGTGCAGATTTTTCATTTGTTGCGACAACTTCGTGCAAATCAGTTAGGTAGTAGATGGAAAAAAGTTCTGGATTTTGGTTTACATAAAAAAGTCACTCCGCAAGCAAAAGTGTTAGGGTGAGATATACTCTCCTTACTTCACCGGTATCGCTTTTTTTTAAATTTAAATAAGTCTCAATTTCATTGATTTATTTAATTTGATAGGTAAAGAAAGTATGATTTTTCTTTTATGTTATTACCTGCACTCTGTATTTTCGCAATGACTACTTCCGTGATAACGTTACTTTAACATGTTTGGATATCATTATATCCTGTAATTACGTGATAATTTCTCATCCAAATATTATAACATTGTTATTAAGTAATAAGATTAAAGATTCGGGTTTCATTGCGTCGTATGACAGGAATGCGGTGTCCATACGCTATCCTGACAGCTTGCTCACAGTCGCATGCATTCGAAGAAAGGCGTTTTACAGTACCAAATTCTGAAGAGGAAGCAATGAAGATTGGACGATCAGTTGCACGGTTGAAACCCAGTTCGGATAACGCTATTTTTGATTGCAAGGTTAGCAATAAAATTGCTTCGATTCATGTTCTAGCGTTTGGAATAAAAAAAAGTGACTTGGATCATATTTATTGTGGTCAGTTTACGATTTTGCGTTGTGATCCTTTCAAAACATTTTATAAGGAGTTTCTTATATTTAATGTTTTGTATTACCTGATTTTTCCTGATTTTTTCACTGTTAATGTCGATGTTTAAGGTGTTGTCAAGAAATCATGCAGTCTTATGGCATGAGGAAGGTTGTTTTCTTCTTAAAGATACTAAAAGCAGCAATGGTACATTTGTCAACAATGATCGGTTATCGAAAAGTGCAGAAGAAAGTTCCCCGCGACAGATATATTCCGGTGACATATTGCAGTTCGGTGTAGAAATTTCTGAAAATGCTAATAAAGGTGCAGTCCACATCACAGTAATTTTATATTAAACTTCACATTTTTATATATAGGTATCGAATAAATTTGATTACATTCGTTATTCTTGAGGGTCCCTTTCATTTTTCTGACTGTTTTTTCTAACTACCTGTAGAATTAAATATTTTCAGTGACTCATGGTTGTATCCTGGCTATGATACGTCTTTATGATGCAAATGGTGAAGAGGCTTGCCCTCCGGATAATATGGAAATTAGTGGGTATTTAAGAGCGCACGATAGTGATTCTCTGATGTTTCCACTGGTTGACTTCCATCAGCTATTCCAGTTGCAGCATTACATGCGTGAAGCAGTGTATCGGGAACGAGCACTCAAGCAAAAGCTTGCATTGCTGGAGAATATTCTTTCCTCTACTGAACAAGCAGCTGAATCCAGTTGCCAGGTAATCCTCGCCGCGAAGTTTTGAATAGATTGAAAAATGGGTGCAATAATCCACTCTTGCAAGAGCAAGAAAGCTTGTTTCAGGTTGTGACCATAAAAAAGTCTCCTGCCCGGTCTTAAGTTATCCAATTTTCGAATAACTATTGAGATTTTTAATTTCCAACCGAAAGATTTAACCATGAAAAAACACGACTTTGGTGCCGGATTATGTTAAGTCAATGAATTTGAAAGTTTTTAAACAGGAAAGTAGCGCTGAATCTTCTCATTGCTACCGTCATCATTTTAGGCATTGATAAGCGAGGATCAATTACTATCGCGAATCGAAATGCTGGAAGGACAACTTGCACTATATTCGAAAAATGTTCTTAGCGAAAAGGTGAAAGAGCAGATGAGTGACTTACTAGTGGATAAAAACAAATTTGAATCGCTTGCAAAGGAGTCTTTACGTAGGGCTCAAGAAGAACGATGTGAAACTTTGCAACGACTTGCTGATGTTGAAAGAAGCCTACTTAATGCTGGTATGAAATCTTCAATTTTCAAAAGTCCATCTGCAAAAGTGGGTAGGGAAATCCGAATTTGTAACAGCAATTTTTATCTAGTAATTTATGTGTTCTAGAGGAGGAATCGTCGGTTCTGAGACAGCGAGTTGCTGACTTGGAAAATGAACTTTCTGTGGCGGTTAATGCAAACAGTTTGCTGCGAGATCATGTCTCACATTTAAAAAAACAATTAAGGGCAATGGAAATCAAGTACGGAGATCTGGAGGACAAGAATTTTCCGGTATGGTTTATTCAGAAATCCCTCCTTTAGAAAAGCCTTTCCTTCATCTCTCCAAAAAATCATAACGTCTATGTGTGAAATGCTGTAACTTATCATGCGATTATAAATTATTTGAAATATGCTTGTTGTAGGTAAATTTATTACGTGAAAAATCGCGGATAAACAATAAAGCTGAACTGAAAATATCCGACTCACAATTCCTGAATGCTTCACAAGGAGAAAATGGTAAGTGGATTACCTCACGTCGACTTAGTTTAGGGTTGACTTATCCGAACTATTATTTTCAAATTAAATTTGTTATCATCCACTAAACTACAGATATAATACGAAAGCTTTCAGGTTATGCAAAATTATACTTGTGTGATGAAAAACACCAAGCAATGCTGGAAGTGAGATTGACGGCCTATCGATCCAACTGTGACTTTGCCGTAAGTTCTGAATTTTAAGCCATCGGCATTATGCTGCCCTATTTAAACGGTTGGGATAATGTTAACGCAAAAACAGTTCGAAAAGTAAAAACGCTCATGAATATGAGTCGGAAAAAAGGCAGTTCGGGTATGTTGAACTTCAATCTACCCACATTGGGTCCTTCCATTTCAGGCTTTACTGCTATGCGCATTACCGCTTTTCTCAGTGATGTTCATTGTTTATAGTCTCGGAACGATGGTTACATCCTCCATATTGAGCAAGATCAAAAAAGAATAGGAAGTACTATTATATTTTGTTTCACTTTGTAAAATTTTGTATATTTCACTTGTGCGACGTAAAAACCAGGGAAGAAAAAATCGTTAAATCCTCGACGATCCGTGTAATACGTAAAGTTCTAACGATAAATTACCAGAGTAATTTATTCTGAGAACTTTGCAGTTTATACACTACTTCGCGTTTGTTTTGCTCTTTCCAATAACTTGCAGATTAATGCTTTTCCTTACTAGAGTATCTGTTGCGAGCAGCATTGGAATAACTGGCTGGCCCGAGCGGCCTGTTTCGAGATCACACATCGAGCAAATTCAACAAAGAGCTTGGTGTTTATATTGCTTCTGGAAACTAACCACATGTACTGCCGCTGGTTAGCTGACAGCATGAAAAAAGCGAGGACCAGCCATAATGTAGCATGGAACGATGATCAACCCGTCATCACATGGAACTTTGGGATATACAGTGAAATCCACCCAGTCCCTTCTAAAACTTTTGAGCAAAGTAGTTGCGCGTTTGTGAAGGATGAAGGAATAGAAAAATAAGATGTTAAGCTTCTAAATCTTTTATCAAACACAAATGACAATATCAATATTATTTCGCATATGGTAAGTTTGCAATATGATCCAACACTATTTGGACGACGACGCTATTAAAATAAGAACATGCTCACCAAATCTGGGTTTCACGAACTTCGCCAATTATATTGTTCGCTTTATTAAGCGCCTAAAAAAACACTTAGATTAACTGTCGTTATATCCAGAAAAGCTTACATAAACGTTGTAAAATTATGAAGACATTGAGAGAAAATAAATAGTAATGCAATATACATTAAGCATCTCAGCTGCTTCCTTTCTTCTTTGAGCCATAACTGGACTCTCACTAAGCAGTTCCTCAATTACTTCACGTTTATACAACTGTTGTACGAGCTCACTTTGCAAATTGTCCTGGAAAACAATAAAATCGATCTCATCTTCATACAAAGTGCTGAGGAAGAATCTCCCTGCCCACCTTATGCTGACGTAGATAAAATATTTATTTGGCAATACTTGGGTGTAGCTGCATAATACCTCTAAGGAACTCCAAATAATCTGACTTAACTTAGAAAAGGGAGTTCTGCAGAAGGTCGACAAATTCACGAAGACTGGTTAAATATGTTATGTGAATATAAGGAAAAGAAACTTAACGTACGCGAACATAATTCACTAGGAAATGCATAATAGCTTTGGGCACTGTATCCTGGACATTTTTCCTGACAATCATGAAATAGCATCGAATGAGTCGCTCTGCAAGAATGTACAACTATTCTTTTTAACAAAACATTAGTATTGGGTCAGAAGTAATAACGGGTGTACTCATCGAGAAATAAGAAAGCATAAAAAGCCGCAATTATCCAAAGCTAAGTGGAGGCATATGAAGTATAATGACACATATTCAGAAGTGAAGTTGACTGCGCAAGTATCGTAACCATAGGGAACCTATCTAAAATTGCTAGAATGATCCAGCGATTCAACATATCATACCTAATGTGAATGCATGCCTGGTACGGTCACGCAGTGGCTAAACTGATAAGTTCTGTGAACAGACAGATGAGACGGATGAAGCAAGCAACTTACCTATTATTTGGCAATCTCTCTGCTCACGAGCAGTCAATTTTCGTGTGATTGTCTTTTCTGGCACTTCCGGCAAAAAACTCACAGGTTTACGAGCTGATACAGCTGAAACGACAATAATGGTGCTGTATAGCGACAGTACGGTGATCCAAAAACAGTGTCAACCGCTTGAAAAAAGATGCCATAGTACAAGCACCTGATATGACATACATCTCAGTAATTTACGTTATGTCATATTTTTCTTTTATATCTGCCATGACAATGGAAGCCATATAAGGCAGCATGAGTCTTGAAAGAGCATCAAAGTCATTGAAAACCATGCATCCTAGAAATTTGTATACTTCAAAATAATAGATACAATCAGTGGTTCCAAAGACTTTTAGAAACTAACGCGTTACTGCTGATTCCTTGTCTTTCACATTTCCACCGAAGAACCACCCGGTGAAGCTTGAAATTTCGGTCGAATTCTACAATGCTCAAATATAAGCACACTGGACTAGCTAGAATAACAAATGAGTAAATACTGCCTTAAACTTTCGCAATAATAAAGTTCGGAAATTCCAAGACCGCTTTTCCTTCTATGCGATCAATTCTTTTTTAGCAAAGTTTGAAAGTTTCTTGTTCATTTTTTCGTTGTACAATACTAACTAAGATCAGTGAAAGATGGCAGAAAATCACTTAGGAAAATAAAAAGACAAGAATACCACACATTCTAATCATTCTCCTTTGCCTGAAAGAAAAAATAGTTAATGTATAGCTCAAGCAATTCTTGCCTGCATGTCGATTGAATCTCCAGCTGAAGACGAAGCACCACCCATGACCTAAAACAACAAAATAAAAGTTGGCAAAAGACTGCATCGTGAAAGGTCTATAATTTTATGCAGAATTAAAATATTTACCGCAGAATTCTCGTGCACTTTATGCAGTGTTGTTTCAGCTTGAGGAACGCGTTTCACACCCCGTTTCGAATCATCGTCAACAGACACGTGCTCCTGAATTATCTCAGTTAAATAAATCTTTGCTAATATGATCGACAGGCGATATATTCGGTATGGTTAAATCTTCAACTTCATTATACGAATGTTTCAGAAAGGAGAGCTGAAAATATGCCATTAAAAAGAATTTCATCTAAATCATGTAACTTTCAAATAAAGTAATACAATTACCGAAATGCTTTTTCTGCTTATAAATCCACATTCCCATACCTTTTAAGCACAGTTAACCCGTAGTGTATTAAATTATAAGGAAATCTGGTGAAAATAGCATGTTTTCCGAATTATTTCCTTGCAAATAGCTGAAAGCTAAAAAATCTAAACCTTTAACAGACTGCCAAGTGAAGCATCGGCGAATTCCGGATGCTTCGTATTAATATATGCAAGTTCAATTGCTACCAAATTTTCAACAATTTCATTCGTTGGCTTTAAACGACTTTTCAGAACATTGCTTACAACTTCATTTATTTTGTCGTACAAACGAGGAAAACGTTGCATTTCCTGCTGAAAATATTTAATGGGAAGAATAACGGCAATCACAGGGCATAAATTCTTATTTTATAAGTAGTTTATAATGACCGTCCAAGGTTGCTGCAGACTATGCAGCACATTTAGCAGTGATAATATAACTAAGAGCCAAATATGTTATTTAACGACTTCTGCGAGAACCACATATTGCTATAAGCCTTAACATTTGATTTCAATCACTCCTTCGACAAATTATTCAGAAGACCTAAGTTAAGTTAGACTATTATATATTTTGGAATTTATTAGAGGACTTATTAGAGTATATCCTCTTGCATTCAAATATTGCCGAACTGCAGCCGCTATCAACCATAATATGCCGCCGCAATACGAATTAGTCATTATTAACATAGAAAATTTAAACACAGTTTTAAAATCGATTAAAAGGTAGAATTCCGCTTTTTCTTTCCAACTTTGTGTTTAACTGAAGCCTGAAAAGGCAAAGAGCATCAAAAGAACACAAACCTGCGTATGAATACCACAATGTTGCACAATTCGTTGTAATTCTTCATGTACAAGTTCCACACAACGCAGACTGGGCTCCTCCAGACGACGAATTTGCTTTTTTACCAATAATTCAAAGCTCACTTCGGGTACGAAAAGAGCCGGTCGAGGACCCTGTAATGCGAGTTTTGGTGGAATACGACTTAAAATTCAAGAAAGAATACTAAGTTAATCATTTTTTACCTCCAAAAACTAAGATTTTACCGTTGCATTACGTATTGCTGTCAATATGTCGAGCTGCGTTAAATCAACCAACGGGTCAATCGATTCTAAAACTCGACCAAATGTTTCATGAAAGATATAACATATGCGTGCTCCACCACAACTGCAATTTATAAATTAAAAAAACAATACTAAGAAAACTCCGATAGTTATATGTTATATGTCTCACTGAATACACAAGTAAAAGACAAAAAAACTAACAGCTCCGAAGTTTCGATATTCCTTGATGTACCTTCAATCGTTGTGGTGTACGCAGTTGCAAAACGAGTTATAATTTGTAGCAGTGTGCTTCCATAATCCTGTACAGGCTCTCCGTACGAATTAAGCAGTGTTTGCCATTGCGCTATCAGAACATTAACTCGCATTTTCAACTGTGGAAGACATTCTCGTATATGGTGCATTAATAACTGAAAAAAAAAAATTGTAGTCGTTAAACTACGAATACCTTCTGAATAACAGTGAAAAATTTAAAACATATAAATAATCGACAATATCTCTAATTTATAAAACGGGTAATACTTCTACCATCCAAAAAAGAGAAATTGTGCAAGCACTCTCCAATTCGGAAATTAGATGAATCAAATCAAAAAACATAGCAAAAATCGTATACTCCCTTTTGTTCAACATGCATGATTAACGAAAGCTACTCTTCGTGATAGCAATTACTAACAATCACGAGATTTTAATAGAACCCAGATTAAACTTTCGAACTGAAACAACTTTCAACCACTATCTACAATGCCTGCTGTAGTAGGCATTAATTCCTTAACATTAAAATATTACTAATTACTAATAGATTTTATACGAAGATTTATTATATTACTCTATTCAGCGTTTTCGATAGATAAGGGATTCCATTTCTGCTTGCTAATGTAGGATACTTTCGTTGCAAAAACGACTGCTCATCACGTAAACAATCATCAATCGGTTTTTTGCTCATGATATCTGCTTGGGATCTAAAGCATATTATTTGTTTTTCTCATTTGCAATCACCATATTATAGGCGTGAAAACAGAACAGAACTATAAAGAAATCAGTAACCTGTTCACAACTCCTATAATGCCAAGCTTCACAGGAACAACACGTCCAAGAAGAACTTCCATGGCGTCAGTGCCATGATCCATTAGGTCAAGTTTGGTAAGCACAGCTAGCGTTCGACAACCTACAATTCAACTCAGCTGTTAAAAACAAAAAGAGTCATTGGATTCTTTAGCAGTGCAAATGTGATTCTATATAACAGTGATTAAACAAAACAATCACCTTCCGGATCGACCTCTCTTGCTAATTTCAGTGGTTCGGAAGTGGCAAAATCTTGGTTTGCTGGTGTTATAGCAAGAATAATGGAATTCGGATTTCCTATATAATTCATAATTAAGTCCCGAACTTGAACCTGAAAAGGTTGTTTCCTGGCCAAATTAACAGCTAATGGAAGTTCAAATTTAAGATTATATTTAAATGACTCCCACTTGCTCGGCGATAACATTGTGGCTAAGAACCTTCTTGGCCATGATTATGAAAATATCAGATAAAAACATGAATAGAAGAGTGGAATTTGAGACTTCAAATGATATCATGTTTTAATCGAAAGATCATTAGCGCCACTGTGACATTAGCTGCTTTAAGAGAAAAAGAGAAATTTAACTTATCCGCACTTCAATATCCGTAGGCTGATCACCCACTGGCACTTTCGTCAATCCTGGTAAATCTATGAGCGTTAAATTCACAACATTGGGTGAACAAATTTTAAGATTGATTGGCAACCCAGATATTCCCTGAAAAAATTTTATACGCTTGTGTATATATGAGGAATTATACTGACGATGACTACTTAGAGCTGAAGTGAAATAAAATCTCACTTACTTTGTTTCTTCCCGTGATTCTGTCCGTTTCAAGTTCTATTTCTTGCTTCACCTCAGAGAAATCTGTGAAGACCACTTCTTTCAAGTGACCAAACGTAGCCCACTCAGTTGCATTTATCGGTATACCTGATGCCGTTCTTTTTAACATGTAAAACGATAAGTGAAACACGGGATTACAATGGATATTACAGTAAATTAGAGCACGCTGGGAAAAGTCAAAAGCATACCTTCATCAGTAATTCTGGCTTCTTTATCATCATTACGTACATTGACCAGCTGCAAAATCAATGGTCGTCTTGTAACAATACCAGCTCCACGTGGTAAAAAATCCCGACCAACGATACCTTCTAAGACAGAACTCTTACCTGCACTCTGCAAAAAGAAGCAGTGTACTTACGAATACAAGTGCAACAATGAAAGTTAAAAATTATGAAAACCCAAAGCAAGTAAGTAGTCTAAAATACTAAACCTGTGAGCCAACGACGACAATTTGCGGCAATTGTATTTCTGCCTCACGAGTGCCAATTGCGGAAAAAACCTCTTGCAATTTGTTAATAACAGGAATAAGCGATTCCATGAATATCCTGAAAAGGCAATTACAAAACACTGAGATTCTTGTATGAATAAGAAAATTGTTTAATTCATTTTGCTACTTAAAACATAAATGCATTAAAGCAGAACGTAAGAAAGGAACTCAAACAGACGTAAGAAAGGAACCCAAACAGATTACTATAGCAAGTTGATCACAGATAATAGGCCAATTTAAACCATATCACAAATAATATTAAAACTGATGTCTTAAAATGGATGTCCACTAAAACGGATAAATTCATGCATGAGAATAGGCCCATTGCATAACATATAAGACAGAAATGGATACTTCTTCTCAATAAATTGAAAAAGAAACAAATACAAATGCTTACGGACTAAAGCACCGATCAACGTCACTATTTGTCATACAAGAAGGACACAGCCTTACAGTTGAACACAAATTTTAACACAACAAAGTCCATGTCATTTTCTCAGCTTTTATCATCACTTGTCCAAATGTTCGCAATTTGAATAAGCTTACTTGTTATTTTTCAAAAGATTTTCGTTAGCAGCGGTTGAATTTGATTTCATTAAATGCGCCTTAGTCGTGCTTTCCGTTGCTACATTCCCATTATCAACAGCACTGTTGCCTATTATATTCGTTTGATCGTGAGTGTTATAAGGTAACGCCTCAGTATTTGTCGGATCTGACGCTTCCTCTGTTTTAATTTCCCTATAAAATTTCCAGAAATAGAAATTCCTTCCATTCCGACTTACTATACAAACAATCCTCAAGATAGTTACACCACTAGGTAAAACAATATTTTACGTGGCGATTATGAAACCGAATAACATCTGACTGGTTTAATTTATCAATTTTATCAGTATTTTATGCGAGGTAGGCAATAACGTGATATTCTCAATCTGTTTCTCTGCTAGCAATGCTAACACATAAACAATTTACAATGCCTGCAAGGTAAATGTAATGATTCGACGGGTACTACTGGGAATTTATTGGAAAGCGGAATAAGTCACAATTTTAAAATGGAGTGGCATGAAGACACCACAAACTTCTAGAACAAAGAGCATATTGGCCACATAGAATTCAAACAGCTCAATTCCCCCCTAATTTCACAAACCGGGCGGGAACAGCCATTCGCAGAATGTTCTGTGGTCATTCGTGGTATGTACTATTATATTGAAGTAGATATGGTACATCTCGAATGACTGCTGAACAGAATGAGATTGGCTAGGTACAATACGCTACGTTATGAAAGTGTATATTATCGTTGCCAATTTTCGTATCACGATGAGCATCAAAATCAGTTTCTCTGAAAGTTTTGATCAAGCCAGACAGCAGACAGGAATTGTGTTAACTGAAATGGAAGATATTAAACTTACGTACTTAATTATGGAACAAAAGACAGACCTCGAAGTCAAATTTTGCAATTACAATCTGCCGTTATGTCATGCACCATATTATATCGTTGAGACTAGCTGATTTCATGATAGGCCTGATCATGATAGCCTAGCTGTTATATTTAATTCAGCTACAACCTGATTTGTATTATTCGGTCGCGAGGTTTGCAAGTGAGTGGTTGACTGGATATTGTCTTGTGGTTGTTATTTTGTTGGATTGTTGGCTCGGAAGAAATGATTTATTGTATTGGGGTGAGGTGTCAGGTCTCTTCTCTTTCGTTCAAATGGATGTTAGAAGGATAAGGAGAGAAAATATGTGAATGGAAGTTTTGCGAATCTGTAGGTAATCTCCAACTTTATTCGTAGACCATTCTCATGATCTATGAAGTAGTGAGGAGTTGTGGTTTTTGCATATCTAAAAATATATTCCATTGAGAATGTTGCCAAAAATTTTAGATTTAGCTTGAGACTGAAGAAGGCTCTCCATGGTGTCTTCTTGGATATTTACGCTATTGGCTATATTTTTCAGAAATGCCACATCTCAGGAGTTTTTTTCGAACTTTTTGCTATCCTAACCAACGAATGAAGTAGAGGAATTGCTGTAATGGCTGACGTCATGGACCGTTTCACAAGCTGGGTCTTACTTAGCAGGTTTTGCATGCCGTTACATGATGCTATAGGGATTGATGAAGCACTTCTATGACATTACCTTTACTTGCGTAATTTAGTATGGAGTATACAGATTTTTCATTTTAGGTTGACACCGTACTGCTTACCAAAGTTGTATTATACGTTCTAATATTTCGGGGTGTAAAAAGGATCATCTTGCATCATATCTTAGGTAAGTTGTAATACTGGTTTGTTCGTTTTCTACTAACTGTTTGTGGCGATCATGTGTTTATGTGATTGCTTAGCAAATATCGAGAATTACATTGTGTAGAATGTGAATATAATACTACTCGTTACGAGTAGTACGGTTAGTTCATGAATAAGGCTAACGCAGAAGTGTAGTTAGTCCGTTAACAAACTAGAGACGCAAATCTTTAGAGTTCTATTTATTGTCTAAAATTGAAACCGATGAACTGTATTGGGGATTCCAGGGACAATAAAAGGTTGGTAGTTCCAACTACCTCATAACGGGTATTGATCGCTTTATGCTGGTTCAGGAAAATATGGGTGACGCCATGCTTGTCAAGAAAAGGCCTGTTTCAATCGATGAAATGAATCTTAAATCTATACAACGACTGGATCCATGTGCGGTGGCAGTCATTGATAAGGTTATTCATATTTTTTTTTCTCCATATTTGTTCGAGTCTTGTTTGTCATAGTTTTGCAGTCGGTTCGGAAATCTTCTATAAATGTTACTTCCAAGAATCCCTTTTGTGCGCTCTGATTTTAGTGGAGTTTGCTAAACTGAATAGAATTGCAACAAATTCTTGTAGAAACAGATTGCCAAGGACTACAAATTCGTACTTCACTTAAACTTAAGAACGAGGGGGAGGAGATTTAGATTTGTAAACACCAAATAGCCGAATGGGCATTGTCAGCCCTGCTTCTGTTTGTTATTTTTTCTATTAAAGGAAGAAATTCAAATCATTTTTAGTCTGTGCATGCGGCGCTCTATCAGTTCGATAAGTGTAATACGCAGTGGGTGAAGTCCGCGATCGAAGGTCCGCTATTTCTGTACAAACGAGCCGATAAGCCTTTTCATTCGTTAATGATTGCAAATCGTCAATCTCTCGAGGATCACATCGAACCGATCACGTCTCGATTGCGATTTTTCCTTGAAGCTCCTTATTTGTTTATGAACACTCAAGGTATGTTTTCGTTAGTTATTCATATGTCACTGTTTTCCGCTATTCAGTGCAATGAACATAACAGACTTTGTCAATTTTTATTTCGGCAGCGTCATGTTTTTGTTAGTCCTGCTTTACATCTCTGTTTTCTTGACTTAATGATCGTTTATAGAAGGTGAGATAAGAGGTTTCTGGTTCTTTGAAGAAGAGGATTGTACGCGTTTGTATAAATTGCTTGTCAAGCTTGTTTCTGATTCAAGTCCGTCGACATCTACTATTGTCAACCATTCAAAAAGACCAATTCCAAGTAAATCGCAAAATGGATATGGTGCGCACTCAAATACTGTTGCAGGAAGAGGTAAATCTAGTTAAATTGTATCCAGTTAATGCTTTTTATAAATTTGCAATGAAATTGTTAATCTGATGGCGTTAGTTATATATACGCCGTTTGTTATGTGGCATTAACCGTTATAACATGTTCCTGGACTGGTTGTGCATTTCAAAAGACATAGTGTTTTTCCTTCACTGTTCATTTCGGAAATCAGATGACAAGCAAAAGACTGAGGACAATTACTGTAGATTAGTAATAACTGCTTAGTTTGTTGGATGCTCTCTTTTCACCGTAAATCTGATTTCAGTGACTTTGATCAGTAGGATTTAATCTTAAAGTTTTTGATGATGATTCGGCTTTTTTTTTGTTTTATTTAGTTTAAAGGACAATGCACACAATTTTTTTTTCCTCGTCTTACTCATTTAATTAAAGACAGTCGTTGCAAAAAACTGGATGAAATGCCGGCTTTGCTGCAGCAGTTGCTTTCGAAGCAGACAACCACAAAATTACCCGATGTGCCGACCAGAGGTGCTTTGAGTGCGGATCAGATTGAAAGACAGCTTCTTCTCCGCGGTGCTCAAGGCGAAAGTGCTGGGGTGTCAACAGAAAATAAATCAGATGCGAAAATAATGGGGTAGTTTTTTGATTTGCCGATTTCACAACGGATTTTTAGTTTTCATGCTACAAATACTCTTTTTCTTTTTTTTGATGACACTGATAACGGCGGGTTAGACACTCAGAAAGAAGTAGCTTTTGGTTTTGTTTTTCTTATGAACTTCAATTCCACATCTTCTGGAACTGGAGCATTTTTTAGGAAGTACGCATCAGCATCTCACGAGAACGAAGAAAATGACACATTATCGGATTTAGTGAATAATCTGTCCCTCTGCGCTGCCAAAACATCTTCCGGTATAAAGGATGTGGAGAAGGTACGAACCGACTTTTAATTTGAGGATAAAATTTTTAGTAACTCAGTGCCATTTTGAGCAAGTCATTTTTTCAGCGTCGGTCGAAGAGCAAAAATAAGCATGATGGCATACCTGAGGATAATTCACAAATTGTCTGTCTCACGAAGGATCAGTTGTTGGTGGCACTTAAGCATTTATTAAAGGTTTGTTTGATTACTTTGGGCTGTACAGTTCTTGTCTAGAATAAGTAATCTATTTATCAGTTTTGCCGGACTACGTTTCTTTTAAAAAGATATGTAGTTTTGTCGTTTCACCATGAGATCGAAGTTACTTGTAACATGAAGCCACGAAGACTGACTAGTTATCCAGTAATGTAAATTTCAGTGCATTTACACTAATGACTGCAAAGTTTAAAAAGATATATATGTAGTAAGAAGATATATATATATATATATATGTAGTACTATATATGTATATATATATATATAGTTTAAAAAGATATATATGTATATATATATAAATAAAATATTTAAAAATTACAAGGTATGGTTTCTTTAGGACGATGGCTTTGTAACACGCCTACATTGTGCATATTTGGAGAGCATCAATAGTCGATTGGGACTGCGCGAGTAATATATTGCGGTTCTTAAGGAAGTACTGATCACTTTCTAGAAAGAACAGTCAGCCTTACATGGTTTAACACTCGTTGATTGTTGCTATTTGTGTAGTAATAATAATTTTACCACCAGTACGTTACTGATATTATTTCGTTTCTGTTGCGTCCCTATGTATTCCTTGGTAACTCTTTTGTGCATTTTCTTGTCATTTCTATGAATGTTTCGAATGGTCTTGAAAAGCACACGGTGTGGAGTTAATATGATTTTCTGTTCTAGATGATCCGCTATACTCATTGTACTATGTTTCAGATGATCTGCTATACTCATTGTACTATCATTTCAGGACAACTAATTTAATGCAAATGGTTTGTTTAGAAATATACTACTGCTACCATTAATATTAACGCATATATATTTTAGTAATCTTTGGCGTCTTTTACTAGACTAAGGCTGGAATTTGGAATTTAACATACCAAGAATTTTTGATTGCAGTCCAGATGTTTCAATAACAATAAGAAAAAAAAACTGAAATTTGCTAGGATGCTGTATTTTATTTCGTATCCATCTGGTAATTCTTAGTCTCCTTCTTTATTGTCGCAGTTACTGTGGATGACTTTTTCTCATTCATTCCATAAATAGGAGGTAGTATTTTTGATTGCTTTATTTTATGGGATTCAGTGTGTTGTATACTTCTGTTGTTGGAGTGGACACAAGTTTTACAAGGATAAAGAATCGTTTTCTACACTTTCTGTTTCTACAATCGAAATGGTTTTTTTAAAGGAGAACGGGGCGTATAACGTCGTCCGATATGTCATTTCCGCCAATTCAAGTGAAACTGTGCAACGGACTCAGTGCCTGGTTTGCTAAGAAGAGATCACATTCCAGCCACACTGTTTTGTGTCAGCTAGTAAGGCATGCGTTCGCATTACCTGGTTCTTTGACTTGAACAGGGTATTTCCGCACATCGAAGTTTTTGTGCGTAACTCTATCTACATTACATTGCGCGATACGATTACTGCAAATTTTCACGGTGCACGGTGTAGAGAAGTCAATTCTCTCGGACGATAGAGTAACCAGTGGATCGAAATGTTGGGTAAGGTGTAGGGATGGTTTTCAGCGATTATCTATTAGAATAACAGACTCAGAAACAAGATCAGCACATGAAACGATAAGAAAACGCCACTCCCAGGTCCCGTTACTCCTTTCCATTTCACAGGTTGCGATACCTTCACGTCGAGTGCCCTTCACATTAAACACCACACGTGTTCTATCATTTCCATCCTACAATAAATTAATTTTTTATCGCTTGGGGAAGTAAGCCCTGAAATATCAGGTATAAAAAATGGAATTAAGGACAACTTCACAATTCAAATTTTTAAAAATAGCATAAATCTTACTTTTTTATAGATGTGATATGCAACTTGTTTCATTCGTCCACGTCCTTTCACATATCCCATAATTGAATCACCCAGTAGTCTAAGACAGTCAGGATCTTTTTTGATTAAGGATAATGCCTTTGAAAACACTGTTTGCGGTGCCCCAGGTGCGAGCATTTCCTCATACAATAAATATGCCATACCTCCCATCATAATCATTGACACTACATATGCCATGTAGAGATACGCATTGGTTGCCTTTTCTTTCACTGAAATCCGAAAATAATCCATGATTTAATTTATAAATTCCGGTTTATTTTCTAACCATATTTCAACAGCTCTTTATTTTGAAAAGAAAGTTGACAAAGCTCTATCCATTTTGAAAATCGGTTGGAATATTTCACTGCGATGCAAGAATTTCAATATGTGGACAGTGTGTTAAAGTACAACAAAAGATATTCATTGGGGATTTAAACAAGCTTTATGAATATAAGTAATGAATATAAAGTAAATTAAACTATCTCAATAATCACTTATCAGCTAGAATAGTTCGCTTTACGACAGAAAATGTGCCATCTTCTGCTCGTATAATTGGAAATCCCTCTACATTGCATAATCCAATTTTAGTGACACTAATAAGTACAGTCTAATCAGAATTTGTGTTAGAAATACCTTTTTCCACTGTAGTCTGGGAATCTTTTATCATAACTTTTTCCAAAATCGACTTATTTTGTTTTATGATTTCTCTGTTGCTTACTGACTCCATGTTTCTCCTGGTAACCGTTGCAATTGGAATAAGGCAACGTCGCAAAAAAAGTGTGCATGGACGCTGAATAATCCGTTCAATAGCATGGAAACCGCTATGCAACATCATAATTACTATCTAAAAGTTTCCACTTTCACATGCTACCATATGAATGGATCATCTTTCGTAACGGGAATGTGAGGATAAACCATCACTCCAATGGTCTTAGAACGTTTATCATAAGCGCTAATACTTTCACACTTTGGTTAAGGGCTAGTGAGTTACAAAGAAGTACTGCTATCTGGAAACCTGTTGTTTCGTGCAAACCTGTTTATGGCACTCACTTGAAGAGTAAACAGTAATCCTTCACTGAAGATGACACTCTAAAATGAATCCAACATGTAACACAGTAGATACATCACTTTCCGCATCATCCTAAACTGAAAAGATTGGGAGCGAACGAAATCGTCGATCCTTAAGATTCACGCCACGACCTGTACCACAGCTTAAAGAATCATGAATCAAATGAGACTTGTTTACCAAAACAAATCGAAGCAGAGATAATATAGTGCCGCAAGACTCTTAAGTAGCAACGAAGTGTACTGGGATAAGAAATCCATTAACTTGCAATTGTCTAGGATGTAATTAGAAGTTCAACAATTCCTTTACTTTTAAAACCCACGCAAAATACAATCTCATTTTTTCAATATCAACGTCATCTTTAACATGCAATATGCAAAAATAGTCAAGAGCAAATATAAACACCAAGGCATATGTTCAGAACAAAAAATGATTCAATAAATTCAAAATTATACTTCTGATTATAGAATCACATCGGTAGCACTGCCTGAATACATGTTCAGAAATTCATCAGCTGCAACGTCATTTTCCCTGCCCTTATAGTTAAAATAAACGAAAGTGGAAAACTATGGATGAATTAAAAAGAACAATTATGCAAATACATTTGGAGTGGTACCTTTTTTTAAAAAGGCAATATTACATTCAGGCTCTTTTTATCACCACTCTAAACGAGGTATATACAGTCCGGAATCCATACATACGCACACAAAGAAACAAAATCGATTACAGTGAAATCCCCTGTGTGGTGCCAAAAACAATCAATTGTACGTACAATCAAAAAACTAAAACTTGCGAAAATATGCATAATCATAATGGCGGAAAGGCGGACCTAGAAAAAACGCACAACACATAAGATCATGTTATTTCAGACAAACAACAACAGTTGGTCTGAAATCAAAGGGAGTGGACATAAAGATGCAGTGTGTCTTCATTGTCTTCATACTAATAACTTTATCATCCCCACACACATTTAGATCTTAAAAAACGAAAAGAAGAAAACTCCTATAATGATTCAGAATGGAAAGCATTCTAAAATATTTATTGTCAGTAGAGATAACAGTGGTAGCAGAAAGACATCAATACATGAGAAAGGTACACATCTTTAATAAACAGTAATCAATTATCCCTTTAAGCAAAGCCAAATCCTTCGGTACATTCACGTACAGCTAACAATAGCATATCCCGAAGTTTGTCGTATGTTTCATATTGTGGTAGGTCCAATTGATTGAAACTGCAACAATGATTTAATATAACTAAATGACAAGATAATGAAAATTAGCAAAAATGCTTTGCCTGATCAGCAGAAATATAAATACCATGTATGTGCTGTTGGTAGTCGATCTGGAGATCGTGAATCCAAATGAATGGAAAATTTCTGTGTACCATTCATACCCTCAAGTGCGGCAAAACCTTGCAGGGGAACTTTGCTTGTACCAGTAACGAACTGTAGAAACTTCGCACGATCTTCCTGTTCAAACGAACGTAGTGCTTTCCAGAACCATTGTATCTGTAGTGACAGATTAATACATGATAACAAGTTGATCAAATTAATAATGCGTTATTTGCATGCAAAACACTTTGGTATTTCTGGTCAAATACACCTCTCAACCTTTATGAGATTTCAGTTGTCTCTCGTGACCCATGACCTCACCCACTTACAAAAGCACAGCACTAGTTTTTATATTTTTCAATTATCTCTCTCACTAAAATAAATTCGGAAATTCAAAAGAATAAAAAAAAGAGCTACCTGAGATGAGGATTTTGTGTATGTCTTATACTCTGTATTAGCATAAAGATCGTCGATATCAACATTTGGAAGCCCACTTATCAACAATTCTAATTCTTGCTCATTGAATATTGATATTAAATGCTTCGGAATTATTTCGTAAAAGCCCTCCAAAAATGCGTTCAACTGTTGATTAATGGAACCTATAAAGAAATGACCGATACCCATCGCATCATGGTAAACTGTTTAAAATATGCTTTATTTACTTGCATTATTTCACAAGTACTGCCAATAATCCTGAAACTATGTTAGCACTAATAAATAATGAAAGACTAAATCAGTGAAAACAAAACGAACCAGTCATTTTCATCTGACAAACGAGCTTCACATATTCTTCCTTATTTTCATCAGTAACTGGAATGGACGATCCGTTTTCTTTAAGCGTGCGCATTTTTCTAACTCCGAATTCTTCAACTTCCAAACTAAATGTAAGTTCAGTGCCAAGATCTTCGATCGGATTATTGAGCAAGAATTCCAATGACTTGTAGAAACTGGGATCCTGAAACATACATTTACTGGGAAGAAATTTTCATGATCTTTATGACGTTTTAAATTAATAGATTTCTCAAAGCTATTAATTTTTTCACAATTCTACTATCCAGCTTTCAACTACCATCACCCATCTAACTTCTGAAAGACCGTGCCTAGCTCCCGTTTCGTCTCTTGTCTAACAGAAAAAGACAACAATACCTCTGATTCTAAATCCTGTGCTCGAACAGGAACACTTAAAATGTGCTTGTAAAATGCTCGAGTAAAATAACATTCCAGCAACTTGTTCTCATATATTGCCTTTGCTATAATTCTTCCAACAAACTGGAAAGGAAGATTAATATATTCCACACAAATGAACAATCCAGAAATACTGAGTAAAGAAAGACCACAAAATTTTTCATAAAACATTTTTTCTATGATCGAATTTAAGCTTCAAAACACCAAAATTAAAAACCTTGAAATACTCCAAGTGTTCTGGATTAATGTATGAAGTCTTATTGATCATATATGTCACACGATCTCCTGGGGAAGTTATAAAAAGTGCATAGTTGGGATTGAAAATTTCCCGCGTAATAATTGAAAACCATTCACGCAATAATCCACCAGCATCTTGCCCTTCTTCACCCTCGAATATGATGTAAAATCTCGCTTTCCATTCCGGACCACGCAGTCTGAATAATTCTCGAAAACTATCACTGAATAAGTGACTGCGACGAATCCGCACTGCTACGTCTTCACCTCTATAACAAACACTGGCAATAAAATCCTTCTCGAATCAGTAAAAAAAATAAAATTTCACGCGCACGCTCGAATCAATAAAGTGAATAGTAATTTCACGCACGCCAGCGAATGAAAATTGATGATACTGAATTGAGACGCAAACCTAACACGTTCATCGATTTTTTGCATCTGTTTCCGAAAATAGATACGCTTAACATCAAAGTCAAGCAATTTCGGCATTTGAGTCAGTACTGCGAATGGGCCATCCGTCAAACTACCACCACTCTGCCTCAAAACCTGATTTAACATATTCCGGTGCTTCTCTAAATATAATTCACAGTGAATACCGTTTTTTCTAATATCAATAAAGACTAGATACCAAAACCGAGCAACAGTTAGTTGTAGTCTTGTGAACATTTAATAAAATTCATTTCACAATTCCCCTTCCAAAATAAAGGGCGTAGAGGCGGAACCAATGATAAACACCGTGTTTAATTATTCAGAAAAAAAAAACTGATGTATGACAAATTCCAGAATTTGAACCTTTCAGAATAGACACATTATATACAAATGTAAGCATAAAACTGTAACATACCAGCGAAGTGAAGAAGTTTTTGAGCATCTGGATGGTCATGTAGTTTGCTTGGATCAGTAGATGATAATTCCGAACCATATACCAAAAAAAAGGCTTCAGCACTAGGCTGAAGAGCTAAAGCTGCATGTGCATCTGCATTTGTAAGAAGTTTCAGACATCTCGATACAAGTTCCCATAACGGTTCTAACGTATTCAATAATACGCTCATGCTTTCTTCTTTCTAAAATGTTGTAGAATCAGCAAACAGAACGTATCTGTAAACAACGAAGCGTTCAAAAATATCATGCTCTTTAAACAAATACATACAGCGTGCAAGAGAAAAGACAAAATTACCATGAAAAATTCGCAGATTTGATTCGAATTCACATAAAAGTAAAAACAGAATTTATAAAGTGGTGCCAATACTGGAATGCACACGACCAGGTGGAATGAATTAGAAAGAAATTTATAAAATTAGAGTTAACAAGTTTCACCTCGGCAAGCTTCTTCCTTTCATATTTTTCGATTGCATTTTTATCTTCTCCCTGAGAATGTTCATCCTCCTCCTCAGCTGCAGTTTCAATACTCACATCAATCTCAATACACCTTGCATGTGATTGTAACACTTCTCTTATTTTAATGATTGTTTGCAGAGTTCTCAGAAATACGTTTTGGATGCCATTTTTATCAGTAAGTGCTCTCATTGCTGGTAATTGTAGTTCATAACAGCCTGATGCATTCATGACTGCTCGTGAATTGAGTATTCCACTGATCACAACCACTGATTCGTCATAACTACAATGGAAATTCATGTTATTAACATCATTATTTTAAGATTTAAAAATAAATTATATTACAACAATCTGAACCAAAACATACACCTGAAAGACATTATGGGCTCCGATCATAACTGTTTTAGGTACTCAACTGGGAGAGGACCTATAAGAAACTATGATTTATTTTCGATTTATTGATTTATATAAGAAATTTCTAACCGATTAACGGTAACTTTCGAGCCCGATGGTTGTTGCTCAAGAGACGACGAAGGGTTTCCTTCGTTAGGTAATTCTTTCAGTTCTTCTTCAAGCCTCTCAATATGTGGCAGGAGTCGAGCTCCTAGGCGTTCAGCGGCATTTATAAGGAGAGACATTATGAAAGTTTTCGTAGATGGAGTGAGAGCACGGATTAATTCCAATAGTAAGGTCCGTCCATCCACTAACCCTTCTTCTGAGCATTCACCTTCTGTCAAAGCCTGAAAATTCAAATTAACACAGACTGTTACATACTGTACAGTATCAGAAGGTAAAACAAACCAAAACTATGTGTTCGAGTTGCTGGGTAAGTGGAGGTCTTTCTGCTGTCGAATCAATTGACATTTTCGTGACGGTTTCATCCGGCAAAGTTTGGACAATCTAAAAAGGTTTAATGCTGATAATCCGTGATGGAAACCACAAATTGTCCTCAAAAAATTCACGAAATTATTGAGTTATTTGGTTAAAAAATCCAGAATAGAAATAATAAACGACTGACCGTACATATAAGACGAAGCAACTTATCCTGCAATACCGACGATGAGAGAATAACTGGACGTCTAATGTGATCCATCAGTACACCAACAGCACTATCTTCAAGCGATGAAGCAGCCATGCTTGCATTAACGCCACCCGGTCCCAAAGCCGCTTCTAATGATGAACCGTGTCGATGGGTAGGACGGGATGACATATCAGCTTTCGACAGGCTAAAAATATTGAGATATTAAGAAAATTAAATACGGAAAATATGGACTAGTCCTTCAAATTCCCTTTATAATCCTTTAACAAGAACGAACTTTCCTATGTGCACAGAGCTTTACAGTAGATACATGAAGTTAGCAGAATCTATAAATCTTTCACACAAAACTTCCAAATTTAAAATGTACTCAAGAAACATGATTAAGATGCATTTTCGAACACAGTTTTGCAATAAAAATAATGATAAAAAGTTTTCAGTATTACGACAAAAATTATAAATTGATCGGAAAAAGTGAGAAACAGATAACTGAGAGGGAAAAAATGGAAGCATTCTTCATAACAATAGCTTACCTATGGACGATAGCCCAAAACTGTGAGAATGGTGGCAATCCAGCATTGGAAAGAGAACCTGGTGCACGCAGTTTCGCAGGCAGAAAATGACCCGGATAAGTTTTTGCAAGATTGATCAGTGTATCCAGTACAAGACGACAGACTGTTGTTAGGATTGCCGGATGTAAGGCAACTGCAAGTAAAACGCACTAGGGATTTCACAAAGTTCTCAAAATAAACTGAGCAAAATTAGACACATCAAGTTCACTAAGAGCAGTCATTACCTCATATTCATGCTTTCACCGTCATTATATGTAAAGCTTAACTAACCTATATATATACCTGCGTCTTCTGGATCACGTCTGAAATTCCTACCTATATGAGTACTCTTAAAGAATTTGACTGCTTGCTCATGTTGCCCAATACCGCTGTGTACGCATATCTGATCCAACCAACCGGACACCGTGCCCGCAAAATCTTCATATTGAATAGCGTCTTCGTCTACTTTGTCAAGTAGAGCAATTAAGCACCAGATTACGAAGTCACATGTCACATTTTGTGCGCAAAGGCTTTTGATAAGCTTCTGAAACGAATTAAAAATGTCTTTCTTAAATAAATCGATTCTTATGAACTTTCATTGAATTCAACAGCTGAATATGGTTACTTGAACGATACGCCTAATGAACATTACGCTGAACGTCATTTAGTGTAACATGATGTACAGTCAGAAGATAACAGCAAAAACAGATAACCTGTAAACGTTGAGTATTAAGGCGAGCCGGATCGATGAAAAAAAGAAGCAATAAAGTAACAATGGCATCTCGATCTAATAACTGTGTAGCACTCTTCGAAGCAAGTGTAGTAACTCCAGCAAGCGCACCTACAGTGGTGTTGCCGCTTGTTCCAGGAACCGATCGACCGTTGGTAGGACGAAAGCGTTGTGTTGGCGCTAACATACGAGCAAAATGCATAACCTGCTGGAATTATATAAATAACTTCAACAAGATATAATCTAAAAATTTTCATATTTTTTCACAACTAGGAAAACAGGAAAAGAGTTCCATGATAACTGTTTTAAAAACAATACCTGTGCTTCGTAAGATGCTCGCAAACGTCGTGCTTCAGCCGCAACATTCTGGGGTAGGACTTGTAAGACCGTGTCATCCGCATCAGCAAGCACTTGTGCTCGCAGAGTTGGTGGAAGCGATTCGATTAATGCAGCTGCATCATCTGCACCAACGGGAGTGTCTAAAATCCATCACTTTTGATTCAGCTACAACCGCTATTACTGTACATATATAGAGAGAAAAAAACGAACCTGTCGGCGGCGCACTGTTACTTTCTGCCCTTTCCTGTGCTAATCGCACAGTCCTCTCGTGTTGTGCTAAGATTTCTTCCTGCAGATCAGGAGGAAGTGCATTTAGGAATTCTTGATCAAGAGGTTCAACTACAGGCATTCCATCTTCACCATTTGCCTGCCCGGCTGCCTCTAGGTTCGCAGAAGTTTGTATCAAACGTTGTGAACGCTGCTGTCTCATATAATCTCGGATCACTTCCATGCGTATGTCTTCCGGTAAGGCTGCCAAAAAAGCAGGATCTACGCCTTCGGGGATTTCTATATCTGAACAGAAAACAAATTTACTAGATTTTTACAGTGAACTACAAGAAGTGCATCACCCGATTACAATGGAAAAATGAGACAAATTGTTCATATGCTTCTATTTCAAAATAGGCTAGAAATTTGTAGAATATATTACCTCCTAATATTTCTCTGAAATCATCTCGGTTAGCATGTGAAGCTTCTGGTGCAGTTTCTGATGCATTTAACTGCTCCACATTCCCTAAAACAGTGTCAGTAACGAAAAGAAAGTGACATCAAGAGTATGGACATACTATTTCTCCTTCCCTTTAGGCCCAACTATTTTCAGCAAGTACAATTTTTCGAAAATAAGTTGAATGACTCATATGCAAACAATAATTCCTGCACTTTCTTTATGTAAGACGGAAATGATCAAAAAAATAGTCTTGCAGTTACCTTGTTCTTCAGTTTCATCCACAGTATATGGTAATGTATGCGTGGGCGCCACTGTAGAAATATTACTGTTTCCGTCTGAAGCGCTATTTTCCTGTCCCTGCTCCTGTTCAGCAATTCGCTGAATCTGATCTTCGAAATTTTCCGAAGCATCATAATACAATGTACCTGGAATAAATAGAGGTAACCCAGACACCATCTGTTGCGTGTTTGTTAAATTTAAGAAAGGAATGCTGCATATCCATACAAGAAAAAAATCTAAAGCATAAAATAACCTGATTGATCCATGGGTTCTGGAGCACTATTCGTTTGGACTGTTATATCGATAGATTCTGATGAATGTTCTGGTTGTGTATCACCAACACCATCATCGTTTTCAGCACCCTGAATTTTCAATGAAACATTTTTAAATTTTAAAGCACAAAAACGGTAAGCAATATAATATGAATAGATTTCCCCATTTTTCGATATGTTGCATATATATATATATATATATATATATATATAACTGGTTCTGCTGCTAGCTTTTTCTAGTTAAAACTGAGAGATATAGTAAATGGTATCAGGAAACCAATAATGTGAAAAATACGTGAATAACGCTGAAACAAACTCCGTGTTCCTCCTCATCAATAAACAGTCGCGCCGTACTGATACTTTCATTTGATGCCGCATCACCCAGAGATCTCTTCGAAGATTCCTCTGCAAAATCCTCCTGCGTTTTCATTACCTCTTCTGCTTTCTTCTCATTTTCGTCCTTCAAAAAATCTCTTGGAGTTAAAAAATATCGCAAAAATTTCAATTTCTTATCCCCAAGCATCATGCGATATTTAATATTAAATTTTCCCACTCCTCCGTAGCTTCATTTAATTCAAAAGTTCCATTATTTAGAAATTATGAAAAAATGTCATATAATACTTGAAAGAATAAAATTAAGTAAACTACCTTCTCAATGGCATCCATAATACCGGTGACATAAGATGCGACTATAACCCACAAGTACAAATGAGCATGACCATCAATCATCCTTGCAGCATCTGAAAATCGTTCCAGTGGAAGTGGGACGGATGTTTGCCGTCGTTCTTCACCAGTAACTGTAGTTGTATTATCCAATCCATGGTCTTGCATCTGAAAAAAACGCTAAACCTATATTTAGCATATCAGGAATTATTCCAATGAATTCTATTATTGTATCAAAAATTAAGTACCAATGCAATTCCTAAGCTCTAATTTGTAATGAAAGTTCCGGAATCAATTTCGGCAAAATAACACAAATGTTGTTACTTTAAACCACAACACGAATGGACAAATTTTTCTTTCAAACGATTATAACAGATTCTACATACTATATCATAAATAGGATTAAATTAGCTTACAACGACATTCAAGAAACGCTGACGTGACGGAGTGACGTCAAAAAGATGAGTGCCATTAGCTGTTGTAGTACCATCAAAGAGTCGTTCAATAAATTCACTTTGTGTACCGAATGTTGTCCAACGTCGTACCGCATTTTGCCGATGCAAGCCTGTTGTATTCACATTTCCAGCTCCACGACGCTGGCCAACCAGAAGGCGATAACTCTGATAACAATTTTCTTATGATTTTTTAAAATGAATATTCTGGTTTTGATATAAACAGCTCGTTTTCTCTAAATAGAAATAATAATATTAAAAACCCTTTATAGACTTTTAAATTTCCTTTATAAATGTAAAAAAATTACCGTAGGTCTTTGACCTATGACACTATCACTGCCACTGGTCTGTGATGACCGTTGCAATAAGGGATGCACTGAAGTAACTGTAGTTGATGATCTGTCGGCATGCGCGGCTTCCATGCCTGAACACTTCGTTTTAGGATGAATTTACGAAATGGTATTCTCTGAAGCTTCTTACAGGCTCTTAAAGGAAATGCTTACTAGTATTTACAAAAAGACGAGCACCCGTGAAAGCACCATTTGTAAGAGCATCGATATCATCCAGATTTTCAACAAATATATTTGCGTTGACAAAATTTTCTTCAGAATCGCCATCTTCAAATCTGTCTGCGGGTCCAGAATCATCTACACTATCTACTAAGGCAAAACGACTTAGTACTGCCGGTTCCATTTCTACCATTCCAAAATCATCTTCTTCGACGCTTACACGTCCTTCTTCTAAAATCAAAAAATTCCAAGCTTTACTGGATGCAACAATCAAAGCATTCAGATGCAATTCAACTTCTTTTAGATTTAGTATATTTTAGGCAATGACTTCGCTCACAGATTCTTATCAAAATGACCCCATTTACACTAAGAAAATCATGAGACAGGAGTGAGTGCTTATGTAGATCAGTTCCTAAGTCCATGTTTTTTTTTTTTCTACGATAAAGAGAACGAACCTTCCATTACATCGTCATGCTCATCATCCGATTCATCATCCACATCCATTTCATTAAGAGCAGCACCTTCATCCTAGAAAAAACATGGCCTAGAATCAAATTTGCATACCAAACTTATTATACGGCGCCTAATTGGAAATATAAATTCTCATTCAGCATCTCATATAGAAGCATGTTAAATGTTTAAAAATAGAATAAAATTTAATTACATCGTCACCGTCATCTGCATCGTCTTCGTCTTCACTTTCACTTGAATCTTCAACAGCATCCGGATGTCTAGCATGACTACGATCCTCATCATCATCTGCACAGTAATCATCATCATCAGGTCTATTCCGTTCAACCGTTACCTGGAACTAATCCAAACGGGCATCAAACGTTCATTTGACAGCATTAAAGAAAACTCCAAAATCCTTACTTCCTTTCCAAGAATTATTGGGTAAACAATCGAAAGCATAAGGAAGCTTAAACTCGTTTTCAGCTACTACAATCAGGGTACACTCACTAATTGGTCAGAAAGTCCTGTTAAAAGAGGGAAAACTAGAAGCACAATAGATTTCTTTTAGAGAATGAAAATATCAACCATAAGACTAGTAATTACCTCATGGGTCTCAAAACGATGTTCATCAGCAGTACTACAACCATCTTCGACGTGCTGATCATCCTGAGAATGTTCACTCTCTCTCGCTGTTACTGTAGCTGATGCATCGTTTTCTGATGTTGCAACTAGTGTCACAGACGCTGATGCGCTCTGAGCCGTTGAGAGCGCTTCCGACGCATTTTCTCCTATTGAATTTTGTGCAGCATGGTTACTGTAAGTTGAAAGATTTTTTTCAATGGGCACAAGTGACCAGAAAGGTAGCTGTAAAGACCCTGGCAAAGCTATTTAGTCGGAAGAACAAATAGATATCTTCCGAAAAGATATATCACCACGGCACATAGCAAATACTTCTTAGAGCAATAAAATTAACTGAAAAATTTTAAAAGAACCTGTTGATTGTACGCGTCAATTCTTCCAAAACTCGCAGAATATAGTTCAATGTCTCAATACCCTCTTTCGCTGACAAATTCAGATACCACGGTACTCTACTCAGTTCGATACAAACACGTTTCTTTATGATCAAGCGCAAAATTGTATTTGAATTTGTACTGTTGCGCACATCATGAGGTCCTGCAGGACATGCATCACGTGCCAACAGAAAGAGATCTGATAATGCTCTCAGCTAAAAACAAAAAATTTATACTTTTCACTTGATAGTATTTTGATACTTTTTAGTTAAGCCTTTTTAGAAAGCAATATTTAAAATCAAACTACTTTTTAGTTTAAGCTTTTTCCTGCAATCACATCATGACTCCTTTAAAGTTATGATACCAGCAGCACACTGCAAAAATTTTAATACATCATTTTCATATAGCATTACTTAGTTCTTACCTTAGTGCAAGCTATCTTTGAATCGGCTTCAGAGAAAACAATATGAAGACAAGAGATAATACTTGAGATCAATGCTTCCTGAGCCTGAAAGCATAATTTAATGACTAGATAGATTTTGAATTTCTTCGGATCTCAAAAAACAGTCAAATACATATTTTCGAATACCCTATCTATATATATATATAATGCTGAATAGAATAAACATACTTTTGGTGAATGACTGCATGAAGCGACTGCAGCTACAAAAGTCTTCACAGCCACAGAAAGATTACCATCAGCAGGAAAACCGCTTGGGACAACACATTTATTGAGAAGCGAAACCATAAATGGCTGCCCATTAAGATCGTGCGATTCAGCAACTAACGTTGCTACAATACTGTAACTCTTCGCCAACTCAGCAATCAATCGCACGAGTGATGCACGATTTATCACTCTATTCGAATCCTCCCACGAAAAGTCCAACGTGTGATTCAATAAATGCGTCAACACCTGACATAAACCATGTGATTGGAAGTGTATTTTAGTTCTACAACTTCATGAAGCATTGCCATCCAAAATGCGAACCTATATATCTTTATAAGTGAAATATATGCACAGACCTGTGCAACTCACAAAGTCATACTGCTGAAAAATATCATTAGAAAACAATCCTATTCATAAATAAAAGTTGACGATGACAATACCTGTTTAATAGGTGAGCACGCAGCCCATTGCTTGCAAGTAGGATCAACGGGAGTCATCGGTAAAACGGTTATCTGATCTTTGTGTTTTCGCGTAACACGTTCCATAGTAGCAGCAAAAATTTGCGGATGGCGTGCGCATAGCGGAGAAAGAGCACGTATAGCATGTAACCAGTCTCGAGTTGTTCGCGGTGTCCTAAAACGTTTAAATAATTCGAAAAAAAAATTGAAGCTTATTACCAAGAAACCCTCTCACTGAATCAAAAGCACATTCCACAAACCTGTAAAAACACAATATGTTGATTCGAAAAAAAAGATGATGCAATAAAAATAAACCTGCCTAATATGATTCCATCTTGTTAAAGGCGGATTGATAGTATAACCACCTGCAGCAATTGTACGCACTGTTTTTTCGAAAATCTGTCTTACCGCAATCTCATCATCAAGACAGTGACGAATAACAAGGGCAGCAAGAATAGCTGATGATGGTACTGCGGAACCGGACACATTTATCACTGTTTGCACGCCCCCCTGCTGAAAATCATGTGCACTTAGTAAAAACTTTTCTTCTCAAGCTGGCGGAAAATTTATCCAAATCAATAAAATTCCTAAGTCTTCAAGCCATCACTTTGGATCTCTCGATGCAGCTACATTAGATTATTATTTCCTTTGAGGCAAGCCTTTGTCACTAAGAATCTAAATTTCGACTTCTAAACATCTTACGACCCTAATCAGAAAAAGACCCTGTAATAACTATCATTACCATCAGGATTTTTCTTAAAACTATAAATCCCTTAACAAGAAGTTTTCCAATCCAATTCGTTTAGAAAAACGCTATATGTAACCTGCAAAAATTCCTTTGCGATTCTGAAGTCTCTTGTAATACGTGCAGCCAAAATAAAAATCGCATGGATCGAGGTTGCATCTATACTTGATAAGCCAAGAAGGCCAATGACAGCTGGTACAAGTCTATCACGCACTACCTCATTCCAATCTCTATGTCCGTTACTCTAAATAACATTGTAAACAGAAAAAAAATATAAGATAAAACCAAGATTTTTCGAAAAGCATCAAATTTGATCAATCAGTTCGCTCATTCGTAATTCCAAAGACATTATTGATGAAGCGACAGATACAACAGATACACTCAAGCACTCCGTTCCTTGATGAAGTGCAAAATGCAACTCACAAAGTTATTTTGTACAATTCACTCAGTCTGCAATTGCCTTACAATTCTAGCAAAAGTTATTAAAAAAAAGAACCTCAGCAAGTATTTCGGATAATACAATTCCATCCTTCAAGCGACCAGAAATTGTAATCGGTCGTTCAATGTGAGATTCGACATTACGATGACTCATTGACGGAAAATCAACAGTGTATTGGCGCCCTCCTACGCTTACGCTACAGTTTCTTCGACCAGAAAGAAATGCATTTGTAAGCGTATGCGATGCCGCAGGAGGATAATTAATCCAAGCAAATACACCACCCCTTTCGTCGGTATCCCAATATTTCCATGCATACGATTCAACAGCCTTAAACCAAGGAAAGTGTAAAAAATAACGGAATCCACAGCTCCTTAAAATTATTATTTTCAAAATGCTCATAATAAGGACCTTTTCAACTTTATCCTTGCTATCCAGTAATTTTAACATTTTATCATACAGATCGAGCCACAAGCATATTGGCGCAATAAGCCTGAAATATGTGAAAAGTGGGATATGCATCATTCTCATTAAAAAACATGCTGAATTACAACGAAAACGAGATCGAAACATTCATCACTTGGATAAATTCAGTGAATAGAACAATTCAAACAACTTACCTAATAAATGCAGGTCTCTTAACACAGTGTATGACGACCATGTCAAGCACAGAAATCAAGACACTATGAAGACGATACTCTGTAAAGACGTCCATATAAGTGGTAGCAATTCCAGGCCACAGCAAACATACGAAATGCAAACGAGTTGCAAGCGATGCAACTGCTTTCTCGTCAGTCTGAAATTTACTCTAATCTTAATTGAGCAAATCGCTCTAATTTTAATTGAGTGATTCTGGATAATCGCCTAAGTGATTCTAGATACTTGCGCTCATTGAAATGAATAACTTCCTTTTGCAACTTTAGTTAAAAATAGAATATTGTATTCTATGGCTTCTTGACCTGGACTGTAAATTATCTTTGTTTATAATATTTCTACTCATGCAGCTCTCAAAAATGTGGTTAGATAACAGTATTGTAGTAATTTGAAAGCTGGGTGATACCAACATCCAGCACCTTGTAATTTTTCTAACCTCGTCACAGCGTAGTTCGTCCACCATCAAAAGGATATCCTGTACCAAATATTCACCAATAAGCATATTTTTTCTCCATTCATCATCTACTTCATTTAAAATTGCCAGGATAATTTCCGATGTACTGAACACCAACTCTGTCCCCTGTTCCATTAAATTCAAAAGAACTGGAATAACCTGTAAAATCATAACTTTCCTCATAGCGTTCTAGATGGTAAAGAAATCCACTTCAAAAACTACTAACTTCCTTATTACAAGCTTAACCTTTGTAATTTATAGCTTTAAAAGAATAAGTGATTAGTCAATAAAAATTGGCAATTTTGATCTAACACCTTCAGGCTCCGATAGATTATTCTTAAATCATCTATAACTTCCAACGGAAATCGGTCTTCAGTGCTAAAATACTATATTCAGAGAAACACAATAATAAAACCGTACATCTTTACATAGGCTGGATAATACTAGGCGAGTGTCGAGAGGAGGCACTTCGTTCAAGGAAATTGGCTCTTTCAAAAGGACATCTTCGAATTCCACATTCAAATCACCATTTTGGCCACCACCTTCTTCTGCATCGATCTAAGCAAAAAATTTCGTTTTTAAATAATTTTCATATCAAAGTTATTTTTGTCATTTAAAACAAAGTTTAATAGCTAACATCATCGGCATCAATTCTTTCATCAGTTGACGATTGGCGAAGTCTGCCTAAGCCGTCAGTTGCGATCAGATATTCGGCAGCCTCCGGAACGGTTGAATACTCCAGCAGTGCATCAACAGCAGCGTCACGATCGAATCCCATATCAACTAAGAGACCAATACTCGCTCCATCAAGTTCTGCTTCCATCCTGAAGACCAATTATATTAAAGATACTCAAATTAATGGTTCGTTTTATAAATGCTGACTCTTAATCGAGGTAAAAGTCAATTATATGAAATTACCAGGGTTTGAAATTGTCCCACGTCACTGACTATCATACAAATTAAAAAGCAAGGAACAAAATACTTTTTGCGATCTTCAGATGTTGTTACCACAGCTTGTTTTTGTTTTTCGGTCAAAGGCACAATTCCTTTGACTATTTCACGATATATCGAAACAATCATGTCACACATATTAAAATTAACCGCCTCGCTTAAGGGTAATGACGGTAACATACCGAACACAACACTGGCTTGCCGAAAGGCGTCCTGAAGAGTACAAAAAACAAGATGTAATGCATTGGAATTTGCGCAATATTTTGAAAAATTGAAGTGTCACGCAAAGAACTCAAAACCTGCTGGCATTTTGCAAGATATTTTTCGGTTGGAAAACGTTTGGCTTCCGCAAATCTTTCGGACATTTTATAGCGTGAATGGCGGAATGCGTGAGCGTTGACCAGTCGCTCGGTTAAGGATAACCAGGCTTGTAACAACTGTCCCATTTCCACTGTAAGAAAAAAACATTTAGTATAATCTGATATAAATTAAATTGCGGTACATCTGTAGAGGACTTTCAACAACAGATATGATATTCAGAATATAAATAGCCTGTAGAAGACTTAGTAAATCATAACATTTCATCACCAGAAAATAAAACATCTCTTGAATATCGGTTATTACACAAAAATACAGTTAGTACCAGTGCAATAAGATTTAAATTACATACCACAATAATTCTGATCTTGATCAGGTCCGAAGTAATTTGGGATAATGTTGAAGAATGTGTCATGAGTGCCAGTACGATAAAAAGCGGAAAGCATCAAATGATAAGGACTCTTTCGTTCATCAAATAGAATGTTGCTGAGATTATTGATCCAAATTGCCAAATATGGTAACCTTAAAAATTAAAGGCAGAAAATAATCATTTAAAATCTCAATCGATTTTTTTTGTTTCCTCATAACAATTTCAAGAAATTTCAAAGAAGCTAACATTATAGCTGGGTCAGTTTTATCGTAAGGTTTCCATTCCAGAGCTTGCTGGAAACCTTTCATTATTTGTAGTGCTAGCTGCACAGCATTTTCGCATGGTGTGCCACCCTCATTTTCCTGAATTCTTCTCGTTCTAGTCATTCCACCGATAGATATTTTGACGAGCATTGTCATCAATTCCGTACACTGTCGATTGCAACGATTCAATGCACTGGTTCCCGATTTTGAACGAAGCCAGTAATCATCAACTAAGAACACATTGCATTAGTATAACTTTAAAAACACGTGAAATTTCTCGTTTAGAAGCAACTTACTACGAAAAGTTTGTGGAAGAAATTAAAAATCTTTCCCTTCTACTTCTTAAACTATTATCTGCCGAAAATTTGTTTCACTTTCCCTCAATAGGACAAACTCTAACCTGTCTACGAAGCAATCTAAATTGCTTTAAACAAATTTAAGCAGTTTTTCGTAATGTATACGGTCTGTTTTAAATTATCGGTAGTTTTTGTAATAAACCCAAAGAATAAAACTTTTGCAAATAAATTAAATAATCAATTCATCTTCAAAGAATAACTTACGCAGATATTTCGGTCGACCTATACGCTGTGGTACACTATCCGCTCCAACTGAACCTTGCTTCAGAGTTACATTGGCTTCTTCTATTTGTTCATCTGATTGAATATCATCTGTTTGTGTAGAAGCTGTGCATTTGTTCGTTGCATTAAATACTTGTAAAACAGCACTTTCCCAAACAACTACTCTGAAAAATAAAAAAATTTTGATGTTTCTATCTCATGAATGTAAAGTGGGATTGTAATTAAAAGCTCACCTCTGAGCCTGATTACACGAGGCGAGAAGCCTACAACCTTCATTTGTCCAAAATCTTAGAATTGCTGTTTTAGTGGATGTGTTACTTCCCAGAGCAGTTTTTGACAAACTGCCGAGAACCGAACAGAAAACAGAGATCGCACAAATGTTTGCCAATGAAGCATCTGACGAACTCATCGCAAGCAACGACGGTTTCGATGAATCTCCATTCGTGCTACACGAACTTAACATATCCAGACAAAATTTGTTCAGCCGATTAGCAACCATATCTATCACATCACTACTCCTTGTATGTTGCTGAAAATATAGTGAACATGAAGTCATTGCTAATTATTCAATAATCCGTCCTCTTTTCTTGATGTAGTCATGTACTTCCATTCCAAAATCTAATCAGACACTTCATTGTAGTCTTAAGCAGTAAGTGATAGTAGAAATATATTAGAACATAATTCCACAGCTTCTGGCACGGAAAAATTCAATCTTGGGAATCTGAACCACTAGTATCTATCATATCAATGAATTAATTTAATGGAGTAGTTGGAAGAATAGTAGTTTAAGCTTTTGAAATGTCTTTTCAAATGAAGTCCAAGCCCCTACTCATCCAACTACTCCATTAAATTCGTCGATATAATATGCTCGGTCGTTGTTCGTTGATGCAAAAAATTGAAGATATATATATAAATTAAAGAAACACTTACAAAGAGAAATCGCATTATATTCGTAACCAATTGTGGGAATACAGACTGCGATAATTCTAACGGAATCTGTCGAACAAAAAGTAAGGAAAGCAATTTATCAGCAGCGCCAGACTGTATAAAAAGATCAGCTTGCTCAAGTGATGCATTATGGGTTGTTAACAACGTTTCTAGAAATTTTCCGATATTCAGCAGATACTCGCCAAGAGGAATAAGTGGATTCCCGTCGCACACAATCGATAACGATAAACCAAGATCGAGCTGAGGTGATTCACTTTCAGTTGTATGCATTTCTTCCCTAAATTTTAAGAATGGTAATCAATAACGATTTTCTCTCTAACAGTTACACGCAAATCTTACATCAAGCTCCTACCACATAACACTAAGACGATTAACATAATATTCATTCGAATTTTCAAATTCCTTTTGAGTTTCACTGTAAGAAAATGTCATGCTTCAAACAGCAGCTATCATTTTTAGCCATTAACTAACCATTAACCATTAACTAAACTACAAGGTCTTAGATTCATATTATACAAATATTACATATTTGCAACAGCTGAAGCTGGGTCATCATCATCATCATCCGAAGAAACATTGCCTGCCATGATAGTCTCATCATCTCGACTGGGAGAAGCCGATGAAGCAGCAATATTCGAAGAACTTGCTGAGGCTGTCTGACCACTGCGACATGATGTAAGAGACATGACACAACGTGGTGAATCCATAGATACAATATCCAGCAATTTATTCAACACCTGAAATACCGAAGAAATGCAACTAATACAAAATACGATAATTCAATCCTAAATTTCCACGTTTCAGATATATCAGTCAAAAGATAAGTATACCTTAGCCAACGAATTAAGAAAATTTTCTCGCAGGGTTGGGTGATGTCGCAAAAAGGCGTCGAACGATGTACCAAGATTCAAGGCCACTTCATCTGTAACTATGACAAAAATTTCAAGCATTAATATGCAAAAAACTTTCATATACCAAAATAAACTTTAAACCTTAAATCTAATTACTAGAATATTTAACAGCCAGCATCAATAGCCTCAAGCATCAGCAGTCATTGGCTGACATAACACTGTCTCCAGGAAATTGCTTTAATGATCTGTAAGGTCAATAAAGTCAACAACAACTTACTCATCTCGTTGCGACGGCATTTCATAGCGTATATATATTTGGTCGACACGAAAATGTCACAGAAATGATCGAAAGGGTTTTCATCCATGAAAGCTTTCAGTCCACGATCGTTCAAACAAAGAGCAGTGAAGGTGTTCGGCAATGCAGCAATGACATCGCGAGAAGCGGGTAACTAAAAAATGGCAAATAATAATACTATTTGCTACTATTTGCAAATATGAAGCATTTATTATAGTTATCAACTGTGCATTTTTATAACCATACCTCTTGACGAAATATTGCCCTTAGAATAGCATTCGTAACACCTTTCTCTTGCAAAGACGTAAGCAATGATGGTTCCTGATAGATGAAATTTGTAATCAAGGAAACGGCTATAAACAAAGCGATATTATAAATCATAAACTGCAAGGAAAACAAAAAAATTTCACTTTAAGCAACTGATCTAAAACTAAGTATTTTTAAATTATCTTAACTAGTAGGAATGATTGTAATTTGAAAATTTGCCCGTGACATGATGCTTTGACCAAGCCGTTTGTCACTGACATAATCGTTATAGAACAATCAAATCCTGACCATTGTGGAATAGTGAAGCTCCAAAAAATCCGCAGTTTGTTAAAATATGTACTAAAGCAGCCGGTAGAGCACCATCCATGACTGAAATCTCGCAAAATTGTAGTGTACTTTGCAACGATTACAAATGCATGCATATATACATCGATAAAACGTTTCTCAAAACACCCAAGATTCCTACGAAAAGATACTACTAAATAAACTTACTATGTCGAGTACTATCAGCAAACTGTGTATCCTGAACAGCTCTTTTGATGAAATTCAGTAATGACTTAATCAACGCAGCACGTTGCTGATGACACTGTTCTGTTGTTGGTCCAGTGATGCTCAGTTCTGCCAAATGCTTCATGCATATATTGACATCAAACTGTAAAAACTCCAAGTGACAAGTACGAACTTCATGTTCATTATACATGTTACTAAAATATTCCATATAACCCAATTACTGATTAAGAATTTTAATGAAAAATTAAACTAAAATTTGAAGTTGAGCTTAGTAATTCGAACACCGCCATTCTCATTCACCTTAACAAAAACTTCACAAACACTAACAATTAAGCGGTGGACAATAATACTCATTCCACTGCAGGATGTAAAACCATTAGCATCTAACGAAGTCATGATATCGATAACGCGGACAGCACGTGTAACAAAGGTAATGAGTTCTAAAGGCAGCGTTTCACAGGATACCACACCCAATAATGTCTCCGTTAAAGCGCATGAAACTAATGCTTCACCGCCTGCAAGGAACAATTAATAAACATTCATTCCATTTCGAATACCAATAAACAATATTATGACACTAAGAGAACTAACAAAAAATGGAAACTTACCATTTTCAAAGCCAGCAAGATGATAAAGCAAAGAAAAAAGAGCAGTGCAGAATGGTACGGTTGTATACCCATTTCCAATTCTTCCGCACCGCAGGTCGTCGACACATTGGCGGGTCATTCGAGCCAGGAAACCGTGATATGAATTCACTCCGAGGGATTCTACTACTACGTTCAATCTGTAATTTTTCTATCCTATTTCTGAAAGATATTTCTAAGCTTCAAGTTAGTAGCAGTAATTAACACCACTAACCACCAAGCCATATATCAATTGGTTCTACGGCTGATATAATGACCTATAGCAGAGGGGACATGCATAACCATGTTTTAAAGACAAATCACCATTTACGGATAAGATGTACTGAATGCTTTCATTTTCGCCATCAGCCATTTTTTACTCGAAGATTTTTCTCAGAAGAATCAATAAGAATTAAAAATATGAATAAAGAACACCTTACTTTGCAGGTCTTCCGAGCGAAACAATACTAGTTAGCGTACGAAGTGCTTCCGTTTTAACAGCATCAATAATTGATTCAGACGTATTATTAATTAGCAATAAACGAGTTATTTCTTCAATAAGGCCATCATAAAGCATTGTGGTCATTGCCCATTCTTCTATCAAACTACGAGTATAGACTGCAAATGGAGATGTTGCGCTGTTTAGTTGCTTTTTTTGAATAACTGTTGAGATAGGTTAGATAGATCAAAAAATACGTACCTAGTATAGACAATGAAAGAAGACGCGCAATAATACTTAGACGTCGACCACGAGAAGTGTTAAATGACCGCACCAAACGTAAGCGAGCTATGAAAGATACACGTTCATCTTCCTCAATTTTTTTACCAGACAACAAGTGTTCCAATTCAGCCGCAAAACTTTTATCTAACTGAAAGAATTATTTTTCATTGCAAAGAATTGACCCAATTTTGCAGCTAAGTCAATTCCTTAATATCATCACTTTGCCACAGATTAACAAAAAAACATGGGTCTGTCGTAGAAATTCGAAGAATTTTTAACTTCAACTATGTAATAAGTCGAAAAAAATAATTAACTCACATGTATAGAACGAACAAGATTATTCGTGTCTGTCTGAAATCCGATTGGTAATAAAGCGGAAGGTCGCACATTCGTGGTACAACATTCATCCATTTTCATACTTCTGAGTTTACCATTCCAACACTGGAAAATATGATTACTCGGATTAAAAACGCTATGGACAAAAAAGATTAAATAATGAAATATCTCCTTCTCCCCACTTCTCTCTTACTTTTTAATTTTTTTCCCAAAAAATGTTACAAAAGTAGGTGATTACGGACAGTTAGGAAACAAGCCTGAGCAATAGCGGAAAGTCGGATAGTAAGTTTTTTCTGTTGGACATCACTGAGATGTTGTGAGAGAAATCTTGAGCGCTTACTGATAACCAACAGTAATCTCAACGTTTCCACAACAACTTCCACATTACCAGAATCCAACAAGTTTAGCAGGCGCTGAAACTGTTTGTTTTAAGAAAAATATGACACAGAGAAATGACCAAAGTAAAATGGGAACCATTAACAACGGGTGGGTTAAACGAAACCCATCATGAGGAAGTCCCTACACGATTGTTCCTAGCATGCAATCCAGCTAAAGGAGCAGTACTGCAGCACATCGTCAGGGCAGTCACAGTACTTACATCTTGGGAGGTACCAATAATTCCTAAAATGTTTTGCAAATAGATATATGGGAACTTCTAAGTAATTTTAGTCCAGCTTTGAAATCATATTTCCCTCAGACTTCTTTCTAAAATAAATCTCAGGTATCAGCGATTCTGATTTAATTATGATACTAACATCAGTGGAACTGTAGACTGAACGGGTGAAAGTGTTCTCGAAAAGCATAGCGGTAAAAGAGAGAACAGATGTAACGTCTGGTAATAAATTCTGATTTTCGTCGACAGCCATCGGTGCACCCGGTGATGAACTACACGTTACGGCATCCTTCAATACCTCATCACACATGTTCAAAACGTCTGACCACCTCGCCATTTCGGACTACAAAGAAAAAACAAAGACTTGCTAACAAACAAATTCTGATATACTTATGGAAATACCAGCAATAGTGCATCAAACAATACATAACTTCCTTACTTTTCCAAACTGTGGTTGCCATTCATGAACTTCAGTTAGTCGCTCCAGAAATGTCCTCCGATCCGAAGCTGATTTGATATGTTCAATAAGTTGCATACATCGGGGGAACTGAAATAAAATATCTCTCCCAATAACTTTCTTTACATAACTTATCCTCATCTAAAATTATCGCATCACCAGTAGTCTTTAGCTGAATGTATAATCCATTTGAACTAAAGATCCCATTATCAAATGTCTAGCCCATCATCACGTGCACACTCTTTACCGAGCATTCTACTGGTAGCATTGGAAGATCTGAATAAAATATGCTTATCGGTACTCTTATAGGTCACATGGTGCTTAACTTTACATAAAACTGGGGAAAAAAAATAAGAAACGAAAGAATCATACAACTGCAACAAAATTCAACTTACAATTTCTGCGCTACACGGCCGTAATGTTTTAGAATCGATTTTCATATCTATGAAGGCGCTTTTTTAAATATTCACAAAATTCAGTTCGAAAGAAACCAAAAAGAGATCCTGGAAAAAAGAATGAAAAGAAAACTCGTATGTGAAATGAATCGCATCCGTATCTTCGCACTCAACAGCACACAAACACCCAACAACATACAAATCCTCATCACGACAAATGCTACAAAGGAATAGAGTCCGAAGATAAACCACAAATTCAACACATGTGCTAATTTTGTTGTGATTTTAAATCCCTCAAATGCTCGTGACGAAATCCTACTGTCTGCCTTAAACGAGAATAACTTCCTCTCAGCACTTATTGAATATTGAGAATTGATATTACTCTCTTCCCCTCTTATTGTTCTACAATCATGTTTGTAATGATCTTCGGAGTCGAAAATTTTGTCATTTCTCTTTGCAGACCCAGTCATATGATTGCACATTCAGTCATATTCCTGTATTTCTCATTATGGACCCGATTAGATCTTACTCCTGCTCTGGCTATGCTTCGTCGCAGATCCGGTCATGTTTCGCTGTACATCCGGTTATATCCTATGGGGTGTTCGGTCATGTCATAACATCTATCATTAAGGAACAGGAATTCATCATTACTTTAAGTGCTAACAAATATGATAAATAATGAAAACGATGGCTAGGATAATTCCTTCAAAAGCCGTCCTCATAACCCAAAGTATTGTTCGTATGGCCTGAATAACTCATACCAAAGATTCGTTATACAATCATCTCAGATATCTGGCACAATGCCAAGGTTTAACTTTATGCAATAAGGGGGGATGGCGTTTAGGAGCATGACGTTTAACAGAATCACGTATTCAGACATCTTGGAGATGTCCCTGCCATCTTTTCCACCAGAGCTTACCTATTTAGAAACCGCTCAATAGAAATTCTATCAAATCGAATGGGTGAATGAAACTTTCAAATAGAATAAATAGGAAAAAATTCTGGAAAGTTTTTGAATATTTGCTAATTCCCTTCACTAATTTAGCGATTGAAATGGTCACAGTCGACAATGGAAAATGATGCCAAGAATTTCAGTAAAGAAAAGGGAAGCTAGGAAAGCTAACGAATTATATGAGACTTCCGCCACTGCGGAAACATTCTGGAATGGAATAATTTCATGTATATTCTCATTTCACATTTAAAGCATGCAGTAAAGATAACTTATAGCAGAATAACGGATGGAAGTATGTGACACATCGGTTTTCAAAACTTTTCTATCGTTTCCTTCTTTTTTTACACCATTTCATAATCGATCGATTCATTCGAGCATTCCTTTTTCTTTTCCGCAGATATCGGGCCACATTTATTGCTGATCATTCTATTTTCTTGATCCTACCTATCATTCCATCAGTCTACTTAGCGCGCCCAGCGTAACCTAGCTTCACTCACATATACCACACCGTGCACGTGCATACACACGCTTTTGACCTTATGCAAAACCATCGTTGCATGCGACGACATTGTTAATGAGAGACAGTGGTTTTCGCGCTTTATATGCGAAGAGTGTTGAGATTAAGCTTTCCTTTTTGAAATAGGTAGAGATTTAAATTATTCAGTAATAACAACGAATTTAGTTCACACGTATGTCATTTCGGTTCATACATATGCTACACAGATTCCGATAAATACTGGAAGCTTATGGTGTGTAAATATGGAAATTCCTGAATGCATTAGTTCCTAGCTATAGTGCAAGCTTTGAATTGATATTTTCCGAGGTATTATCATAATATTTCTTTTCATTATTTTAGGACGAATGTAGCAATGAAATTATTGGGATTGCATTGTAAGATACCGCTGTGTTATAAGCCAGTGCAGTGTCTGACATATCGTTTCGCATCCGAAGACAATAAAAAATTTGAAAAGGGATTGCTTCCATCTGAACAGCGTTTTCATGAGGTGGCAATCGAATTGCGCACCAAACAGACTTTTCTAAATGTTATTGGTGAGTTTAGGAAACCTGTTATGACTAATGCATTTAACCCAACCTGTGTAGGATGACAGAAATTCTGGTAAACAGACAAACTCTGAATTATGTGAAAGTAAATTTTCTGAATGGTTGAAGAAAATTGTGAAGTTAAAGGTTTTTGACCTTATATGAGAATGTTTTAACGAAGACCACATGGTTTTTTTTGTCATCAATAGTAGCTTGTCATCGATAATGGCATATTTGAATATCAAGCAAAACCGTAAGTCAACTTTTTGAAGAGGACTTGTGATGTCAGTCGCCGAACTTTAGTGGTTTTAGAGTTTTCAGTCACATAAATTGGCACTGCTATAGGATCGCGTGAATAATGACCAGAAGGCGAGGGACAGGATTTTGTTTTCTAAGGTATTTACATCAAATTTACTGTTGTTTTGTTTCAGATAATTTTTGTAAAAATCGAGCACATGCTCGAGGACACGTAGAATTTATAAATTCGGCACTGAAATATATGAAGGAATACGAGCTACAGAAGGATCTGGATATTTATAAATCGTTGCTTAATATATTTCCGAAAGGACCCATGATACCTAAGAATGTTTTTCAGGTTTGGAGTGTTTGTGTTTTTCTTCGATATCAACTGGTGCTTTCTTTCACTTATTACTGTTATAATATGAGATGAGACTGCTGTAGTTTTGTTTCAGCGAAGGTTTCTGTATTATCCCCAGCAGCAGATATGTTGTACCAAACTTCTGGATGAAATGGAATGGTTTGGTTCGTAATTTTTCTGGATTTCCTAACATTTTGGTTCCAATAATTTTAAAATAGGAATATGTAATTTAGCGGTGCAAAATGAACAGAACGCTACTTTCATGTTAACCATTCACGTAAGAATTTAAAATCGCTACGTGATGGCTTGACTATTTCTAAGCATTGCAGGAGTGCAGCCTGACAAAGAAGTTCATGATTTAGTCGTTAACGCTTTTGGTGAGTGGAATTATGCCACGAAGAAAGTGAAGCGCATGTTATATTGGATGCCAAAGTTGAAACACTCGAATACTTATTTGGATCGTCGAAAAATTGAGGGCAAAAAGTTAGGTGCTGTAGATCTTGGTTATTTAGCATTAAAAATGATGTCACGCGACCCAGGTACACAAATAGCATTTGTTGGGGTTGGTTTATCTGCAATTTTTATTTACAATTGTATAGTTTTCATCTATTGTTGGAGTGTTTGTTGCAATTGGAAAACAGTTCTTTTTTGAGCAGCTAATTTTTTGAAAAGTTAGGACTTCAGTAAGATGTCTGGAGGAAGTCATTCTTCATATTCCTTAGGAAGTTTTTCTTTTAGTGAAATATTTCATCCGAAATTTCAAGATTTTTAAATGTAAAATTTTACAGATTAACGACACGGAATTAAATGAATCAGATAGGTGGCTGTTATCTGCTCAAAGTCATCTTCAAAAGAAATTGCTGCGAAGTTTGGAAAAAAATGCTACGTTATATGTGGATGGACCTAATAAAGTGTATTTAATGGATAAATGTATTGAGTACGTTGTTCTCTCTAGTGATCCGAAATCTCATTACTATGAAAAGTACGAGGAGGATGATCTGGTAAGAACATTCTTTTTTTTTGGTATATATCGACGAAAAATATGGTTGGGTACGGTTACATGCGAAGTTTAGTTAACATGTTTGTAGAAGCAGTTTTCCTGGGATTTGTTGTGATGTTGATATTTTTTTTGTTTTATTGTCCTATAAGTCGTTTATTTCTAATATAAATTAAATTTTTATGTTTCTGAGAAATTGCGGTATCATATCAAATTACATTTAAAGGAATCACCATAGTTTTGGAGTTTTGCCCAATTACGATTGAGCATTTTGTTAATCATTAATGTCAATTACGGTCATTTTAAAATTAAGTTAGTCACTGATTCTCGATTGGATGAAGTGTTTGGTCAATTTTTTTCAGATTTCATCTATTTTGCTCTTTTTCAGGACGAAGATTTTGAAAACTGGAAAAGCGAATGGGATGGGGGTTATGAAAAACGTCCAAAATGCAGCATCCACGAACAAGAGCATGAAACAGTTCTGGCCCTCTCAGTTTTTGGCAAAGTTTGTCAGGATATTGCAGTTGGTTGGATCACTCATTTACAGGAAAAGAATCCATCCTTACATAGTGTCCGAGTTTTATTCCGAACAAAACAAGCCAGTGAGACATTGATAACACAATTATCTTGATATACGATTTCTTATTAATTTTTGTATGCTGCAACCTGATAGAATATCAGATTGAATGTACGTTTTAAATATGCTTACACCTCGATATAGAGGTAAAGGTATTCGTGGATGTACAGAGAAACCAGTATTTCTTTTGTGTTTCCTTTAAAAATAATTCCAAGATTTTCCTCCAATAATCTTGCAATTTTTTTTTCTTTTACTTATTAAAAATATGTTTTTGTTTGTAATTAGGTGTCATTTCGTTATTAAACGACTAATGATCCATAAAGATATGTATTTAACATTCTTTTTTGAACGATGTTTAAATTGTTTTAGACAGATTGATAGACCGTATATTGGAAGATTGGAAGCTTCCGGAACTTTATGTGTAGTTCTTCGAATAGTTCATGTTGAAGAAGTATAATATTTCGTGATGCGTATGTTGTATCAAATAATAGCTGAAATCAAACACAAATAATACCGAGTTGGATATTGGTATGAAAGGGAAATGCGAGGAGGGTTTCGAGATAACATCAGACAATTCCTACGGAACTTTCTTAACATATATAGTCCCCATAGTTGGCCGGCAATGTAACAAAACCGTTTTGAATTTGAAAAAAAAGTAAAGTGTGTATATATATATATGTATACTTTTTTGTTTTTCTTCCTCCAGAAAAATATTTTCGAAATACTTCCTGTACCAATAGTGGATAAATCCAGCAGCACTGATGGTGGTCCGAAACCTGTTAGTATTGCCGTTTGCAGAATATCATTCAGTTTTTCTCATGCAATACAGTGCACTTTCCTTATCTATTGGCTATTTCTCTTTAAATTCCTTCATGTACATCTTTTGCTATGCTTGAAAATCCCGTAAATTTGAAAAATCAACCAGCACGAAGTTGATAATATTCCCAAAGATGGTGATAGATGTATGAATGCTCCATCAGATAAACACTATGTTCCTTCTGTAAATCAACAGAGATATAAAAAAATTTTTTCTAAAGAATTTCTTCAATCTACAATGTCGAAAAGAATGTTGCATTTTTATTTTTTTTTATTTTTCTAATACTTGAATATACAAGAAGTGAGAAGTGTACAGCTGACAGGAATTCTATCTGTAACAATCTTAAGATGATCATCTTAAGACTGCTACTCTATTTCCTCGAAAATTGGGTATTTTTTTTCCCCAGAAGATCTAGATCCTATTGCCGAAGGAAATATGATATTATGTTCATAATTAATCAATGATAGAATGATATGACTTTAACACAATGATCAACGTTGATGGATGTAATTGTAATACAATCTAATAAGGTACAAACATAGATTGATAACACGGGCATAATCAGTTAAAATTACTTGTGGTTTATTTTAAAAAATTCGTTACATAGATTTCACAAAATTTTTCGTTTTTTCTACTTATCCATTTTAATATTTATGGAAAAGAAAGTCAAAAACAATGAGATGATATTGCCGGATTTTTGAAATTTAAATAAAGTTTAGTGATTTGAAACAACTGCAATATACTGTTCGTTACATTCATTCCTTTTGCATTTAAGATTATTAGTATTATGGTAAATATTACCTGAAATTAAACTTATTGAAATGATTCTCATTTCTAAAAAGATATATAATCGTTATATTAAAAAGAAGCAAAAAAAAAAACAATTGTAATTTTAATTTTTCAAAGAAAGAAAGAAACATTAAAGAAACGTTTGCTTGTCAAATTTTGAAATCATTATTCCTTCTAAAACTATTTGGAAAAAAAGAATTAAATTATATTCCTGAAGGAGAATTCAGGATATGATGAAAGTTTATTATATTAAAAATGTTTGGAATGAACCAACTCCCTCTCTCTCTCTCTCTCTAGAATCCGTAACAACCAATCTGCAAGATCTAGAACGGCAGATTATTACACCCATGGAGGATATTGAGTGAGTACGAAGAAACACCACCACTT